TTTGGTAAATACACCCCAGTACTGTAAGTATTTTTTCTCTTTATGACTTTCTTAAAAGCATTGTCCTTTCTCTAACTTTACCTAATTGTAAGAACGTGGCATATGTTGTGTTTAAAGTATAAAATATGTGTTAGCTGTCTTAGGAACCACATGGGTCTTCAGCTGCATGGGGTTCAGTGTGCCTGACCCCTACACGTTCAGGGGTCAATTGTTAGTTACTTGTCCAAGCGTTTTTCTCACCGAATTGTGGGGTTTTTCTAAAAATGAGAAAGTTTATTTCTCTGTGTCTGCAGTATTTCTCAGAGTAGGTTGTGAGTGCATGCTTGTTGGGATACAGGGCCGGCTGCTCATGACAGGGAGCCTCTGCAGAGCCCTGGGTCCCAGAAACAGGCCTCAGATATGTGCCTTGGCTTGTCTGTTTGACTTCACTTTCCTTCAGAGGGATTCAAAGTGGAGCTGAGAATCAGGCTTTTTAACACATCTTCTCCTCGTTCTCTCTCAGGCCCGGATGGAAGTAGACGCAGACGGAAATGGTGCTAAGATATTTGCATATGCCTTTGACAAAAACCGAGGAAGAGGGTCGGGAAGGCTCCTTCATGAGCTGTTGTGGTAGGTGTTTTCCAGCTGCTTGCTTCCCGTTGGGTGCCGTGTGAGCCCTGTTGTGCACAGGGCACCCGGCGTCCGTGGAGCAGCCTGCCTTGACACAGCCTCCTCTGGGGTAGGGTGGGCTTGGCTCCCTCTACTGTGTTCTTGCCGAGCCTGTGAGTGGGCTGTGAGGGACGACCTGCCTCTCCTTGGTGCGCGTGGTGGAGTTCCGAAATGCTTGCCGCTGCTCGGGTGGGGTAAGCTCCAGGCTCTGCGTGTGACGCTCGGGGTTCCAGCCCGGCTTCTTGCCGCCTAGCTCGTCAGTCAAGGGGCTGAACTGCCAGCATGGTCCATCGTGTTTGGCCACAGACTCACATAGTCGGATTCCTCGCAGCAGCCTTGCTTCCGACTGTCCCCGCAGTGTGGCAGGGGCCCAGTTCGGGCCCCGGGGCTGCAGTTGGGGGGCGGCGTGCGGAGGCGGCAGATGGCGAGAGTTGTCTGTTTCCTAGGGAGCGTCACAGGGGAGGCATCGCTCCCGGGTTTCAGGTGGTGCACCTCAACGCCGTGACCGTGGACAACCGGCTGGACAACCTGCAGCTGGTGCCGTGGGGCTGGCGGCCCAAAGCCGAAGAGACGTCCAGCAAGCAGAGGTGGGTCTCCTCAGGGCCTGCTGGTGTCGGCGGGGGGCCTCCAGGGGAGAGCCCTCCTCCAAGCTCTCATGTTGCTGTGTGTTTCTGTTTTTTAAAGATTTTATTTATTATTTGAGAGAGAGAGCGTGCGTGGGCAAGAGAGCGGGCAAGGGAGCACAGGGAGAAGAAGAGCCCACGCTGAGCAGGGAGCCTGACGCGGGGCCCCATCCCAGGACCCTGGGGTCATGACCTGAGCCGAAGGCAGAGGCTTTAACCCACTGAACCACCCAGGCGCCCCTCCTCTTGCCTGTTTTTAAATCTGGTTGTTTGGTGTTTTTCTTGTTGAGTTATGGGAGATGTTTATATATTCTGGATATTAATTTCTTATCAAATACATGATTTGCATATATTTCCCTCATTTTGTGGGTTGCCTTTGTAGCTCTGTGGATAGTGTCCTTTTTTTGTTGTTCTTCTAAGTAAGCTCTAGGCCCAGCGTGAACTCTTGACCCAAACATCAAGAGTTAGAGCTCTGCCGCACTGACTGAGCCAGCCAGGTGCCGGAGGGCTTGCACTAAGGTCCTTGATCCATTTCGAATTAATTTTTGTATGTAACCGAGTCTCTCCAGGCCTGGCCCCCATGGGGTTGGTGGGGTGAAGGGGGTGTTAGCCTGCTCCTATGCAGCCCGGCACCAGGGCGGGCTGTGGACTGCCTGCACTTTCCCCACCCACCCTGTGCTCCAAAGGAGCCCATCGGGGAGCCTCAGGTCTCACGTCAGGTAGGATTCCTTAGTTGTAAGCTTCTGGTCCACTAAGGACATAGAGCAGCTCACCGCATCAAAGGGGAGGTAGCTGGGGCAGAGGCAGGTGCCTCTGGGGCCATGAGCAGGGAAAAAGGCTGCCAGGCTTGGCCGGGTCCCGGTCCTGAGACCACGTGTCCTCTCTGCCTGCCGTGTGCCTGTCAGTCCCAGATCTGGGGGGCTGAGGAGTGAGGTAGACATATCCCTGCTGTGTACCTTTTAGTGGGTCGGTCCCTGATACCACACACAGATCAGCCCCGCTGCGAGTGCTGTGTGGGGGCAAAGAGAAGCCAAGGTCAAGATGTTGTGAAAACAGAGCAGGGCAAACAGTTTGTCCTGAGGTCGTGTCCCCGTTGCATCCCTGTCTTGGCGGTGTCTGGCTGGAGCGTGCTGAGGTGTCTGCTTGTCTTTTCCAGGGAGCAAAGCTTATACTGGCTGGCGATTCAGCAGCTCCCCACGGATCCCATCGAGGAGCAGTTCCCCGTCCTGAACGTGACCCGCTACTATAACGCCAACGGGGATGTGGTGGAGGAGGAGGAAAGCTCCTGCACCTACTACGAGTGCCATTACCCGCCCTGCACGATGATCGAGAAGCAGGTACCAGTGCAGCCGTGCCACCCGCCCGGCCCCTCCAGTGGCTCCCTGGCTGCAGCGGCTTTTCCGCGGCAGCTTCGGTGCATGGGCTTACCCGGCCCTTTCCGATGGGGATGTAGCGTCGGCAAAGCAGCCGGTCCCCTGGCACGACGGTGAAGCCGTGGTTCTGTGTTCTTTCAGCTGCGCGAATTCAACATCTGCGGGCGTTGCCAGGCGGCCCGGTACTGCGGCTCCCAGTGCCAGCAGAAGGACTGGCCGGCCCACAAGAAGCACTGTCGGGAGAAGAAGCGCCCCTTCCAGCACGAGCTGGAGCCCGAGCGGTGACCGCGCCGCCGGACCTTCCTTGGGCGCGGCAGACACAGACCGGCGGTCGGCCTGGAGGTGCTGGAGGAGCCGGTGGCTCGCAGCCTGGCAGCCGCCGTCACAGGGACTTGGTGGGCTCAGCGGTCCCTGCGGTGTTCAGCTCCGAGCACAGACAGCTGGGGAGGCTCCCACTGGGATGCTTCTCGTTATTTATATGTTAATATGTTTGTAAACTCATGTACAGTTTTTTTGGGGGGAGGCAATGGGAGGGTTAGAAATTACAAATAGAATCATTTGCTGTAATTCTCAAATGGCAAACGGTCGGTCCACATGTTTAAAAAGCCTAGAAAGTGTCACGTGACAGAAGCTTCTCTGGGTGGCTGCAGCCCCGGGGAGCGTGGCCTGTCTGGGGCCGCGTCTACAAGGCACAGTAAAGGGGTGGAATCATTGAGTGCCTCAGCCGTTCTTCTTTCTCCTTTTTGCCCTCGATGCTGTTGAGCTTTATTTCTGAGTGAATCAAGGTGGTCTAGGGCTGTGGGTGCAGCGTTGCCTTTATTCCTGGGTTGAGAGAGAGAGGAGGCAGGTGGGCACGGAGTGGGAGACCCAGACCCACACTTGTCCTGTGGCAGGGGTAGCCGGGGGCGTTGGAGCAGGCGGCCCTGTTTGGCGGACATGGAATGTTCTCAGCCCTGGCGCAGGTAAACCTGGATTCGCGCACTGTGTGGCGGGGCTTCTGCCCGGCTGAGCTCCGGAGGTCCTGCCTGTGTGCTGGAATAACCAGGGTGATAGAGTGTTGCTTCCCCATCTGCTCTGCTGGGTTTCCTTTCCCTTCAGGAGCCCAGGGTCTGAAGGCCGGGCAGGGCCTCTTACACCTTGCCGAACCACTTTAGGGCAATAAGCCAGGCTCCGTGCCTAGGAACTTACTGGTTTCCAGATCCAGCCAGCCCACCAGAGGCTTTACTTCCTGGGAGAAGGAAGGTTGGCCATTCCACCTCCGAGCATGTGTCCGGGGCTGTCCCTTTCCCCATGTTGGTCCCAAGGGTTGCTGCCACACTTTCCCTTGTGCAGGTCTTCTGCCATCTTCCAGTGTGTCCCATCTGCCTTGTGTGTGCTCATTTCCTTGTCTAGGGACAGACTCTTGGTGTCCTTGGTAATTTGAGCTTCTGGTAGGTTCTTTTGCAGTCCTTGGTCAGTACGTCTTGGAGAGCCAGACTGGGGCAGTCAGGTGAAGGCAACCTACAGGGAGCAGGAGGGACCCTTCTGAACCCCGAGGGGCTGCTGTGAAGGTGAGAATCCCACCTGGTGCCGCTGGTAGCGTGAGTGCTGCTTTCTGGTTCAGGGATGTCCTTGCTCCATAGGTGAGGTCTGCTCTAGGTCTCGCCAAACCCTAGGTTGAGTGGTAATGGGGGATCAGAAATCTTCTGGGGAGGGCAATATGTGTGATCCTGAGAGTCCTACAGACAGCAGTTGGTTTGAGCTCTTGGGGCGTTCCCAGGGTTGGCGTGACTCCTGCTTCCAGAGGTCAGCTCTGGTCAGGACTGTTGGGTGGGGCACCTGTGTAGGCCGACATGTTGGGGTTTGGGTGGTCTTCCCGGCACAGGACCTTGAGTGTGCTCACGCAAGTTGCTTTCAAACAGAGGCTCGTGGGATGAGATACCAGACCACAGGTTGTAGTCTTTGGCCGTAACCTTTGTGTCTGGGCACTTGGAGCCAGTCTGCGTTCCCTAACCCGCACACATTGTCCTGTGGGCAGCTACTCATCAGAAAATTACATCAAAAGGTCCCAGCTGACCTGTTGGACACCACACCAGGTCCTGGTACACCGCTGGCCTCTTCCATGCGGTGCGGTTAGTCTAAAATAGCACTGGCGCAGGGATTGCCGTCCAGTGTGGCTGCTTAAAGCAGGTGCCGCCCACTGGTAGCTGTTCCTTATCCAGTGGGCTGTGCCCCGTACTGTGTGTTAGACACCCCAGCCCCAGGTCTGTGCTGGTGACGGGCTCTGAGCTGGAGCTGTAAGGTTCTGAAGGTGCCTGTGGAGTGACTTGTTCCCTATGCTTGCATCATCGCTGTGGCCCCTGCTGTAGATGCTGTCAGGAAGGTGCTGTAGGATCCCTAGACAGCTCTTACCCCATGTGTGTCCCTTGTCCCTTCTCTGATACCAGCCCCTCATTTCTTTCCTCCTCTAATGGCCCCCAATCTCTTGATCTTTATAGCCATACACCTGAGAGGAAGGTTAACATTCAGATGGTTAAAATAAGGGGCTTGTGTAGTGTGTGGAGCTGCTTGACTTGGCCTTTTTTTTTTTTTTTTAATATTTTTATTTATTTGAGAGAAAGAACGTGAATGGGGAGGAGGGGCGATAAGAGAAGCAGACTCCCTGCTGAGCAAGGAGCCCAAGGTGGGACTTGATCCCAGGACCCTGGAATTATGACCTGAGCTGAAGGCAGATGCTTAACTGACTGAGACACTCAGGTGCCCCTTGACTTTGACTTTTTAAAATTTAATTGAATTGATTTATTTGAGAGAGGGGAAGAGGGAGCACAAGCAGGGGGAGGGGCAGAGGGAGAAGCAGACTCCCTGCTGAGTGGGGAGCCCCATGTGGGACTTGATCCCAGGACCCTGGGAGCATAAACTGGGCTGAAGGCAGGCAGACGATTCACCAAACGAGCCACCCACGTGATTTTTGGTTTGGTTTTGTTTTTTAAAGATTTTTTAGTCTGAACCCAACGTGAGGCTCAAACTCCTGACCCAAAGATCAAGCTTCAATATGCTACAGACTGTGCCAGCCAGGTTCCCCTTGACCATTTCTTGTACCAGGTGCAGGTGTGTGGTTCAGCCGTTTCGGACAGTCCTGTTTCTTTTTGACCAGCCTCTTCTGTGGTTCTGCTCAGCCACCCTCTGACCTGCTGGCTCACAGCTGTATTTCCAGCCAAAGCCCTGCTTCCGAACTGCAGGCTGGGTCCCCAGGTATCCGTGGGGAGTGGGGATTTCAGAGTCAGCCTTATCCAGTTCCCTGGGATCATCCCAACAAAGTATCACAGCTACATGGCTCAGAACAACAATGTATCACCCCATTTGTGGAGGTCACAAGTCCCAAATCAAGGTGTTGGCAGGACCGTGCGCCCTCTGAAGACAAGGTGTGTGCGTTCCAGACCTCTCCCAGCTTCTGGCAGTTTCAGGTGATCCTTCCTTGTGGATGTATCGTACCAACCCTCCGTCTACGTCATCTTTCCTGTGTGGGTCTGTTCTTGAGAGACCAAATCACCCCTTCAGAAGGATACCAGTCAGGGGCATCTGGGCGGCTCAGTAGGTTAAGTGTCTGCCTTGGGCTCAGGTCATGGGGTCATGATCCCAAGGTCCTGGGATGGAGCCCCACATTGGCTCCTTGCTCAGCAGGAAGCCTGCTTCTCCCTCTCCCTCTGTCTGCCTCTTCCTGCTTGTGTGCGTGCGCTCTCTCTCTCTCTCTCTCTCTCTGACAAATAAAAACATCTTATAAAATAAATAAAGGGGTGCCTGGGTGGCTCAGTGGGTTAAGGCCTCTGCCTTCAGCTCGGGTCATGATCCCAGGGTCCTGGGATCGAGCCCCACATCAGGCTCCCTGCTCAGCGGGGAGCCTGCTTCTCCCTCTCTCTGTCTGCCTCTCTGCCTACTTGTGATCTCTGTCTGCCAAATAAATAAATAAAATCTTAAAAAATAAAGATACCAGTCCTGTAGGACTAGGGCCCACCTTAATGACCTCATTTCAACTAGGTGACCTCAGTAAAGACCCTGTTTCCAAATGTCACGTTCTCTGGCGCTGCGGGATAGGACTTCCCAGCTTTCTGGAGAGACAGTTCAGTCCATCCTTAACAACGTCCAAAGCTCGCGGTCCCCAAACCTGTGCTGTAGTATATACTGGTTTTCTTGACCGGCAGCAGCATCTCCTCAGCCTCCCAGATCAGGTCGGGGCCTTACATTCTAAGAGGCCGACAGAGCCCTGCCCCTTGGGCCCAGATGCGGGCTCTTCCCCAGGCCCCCTGTCTACCTTCGTGTCCACCACCCCAGCCTGCCGCGCATCAGGCACCCCCAGCTGGCCCTGGCTCCTTTCTCCTACGTCCTGGCAGGCGGGCCTGAGTCCCCGGGTGCCCCGCGCTTCTCGCAGGCCCGGCAGCCCCCTCGGATGGCCTGAGGGTCAGAGGGCGGGCATAACCCAGCCCCTTTGGGGCCGACCCCGGACCCCGGACTCGGCTCCCTAAAGGTTTAGGTCCTTTGCTCACCCCTACTTCCGAGCCCTGTTTCCCTTCTCCTTCCCCCTATCCCCCTCCCTCCAGCCGTTATAGGAGCCCCCTGGAATGCCATTCCGTCTGGATACTGGGCTGCCGCCTCCAGACCCGCGTGCAGCCCGCGGAGGCCCGCCGGCAGGGGGCGCAAGAGCCCGGCCTCTCGCGAGGCGACAGCGGCCACCGGAAGTCCCGCCCCGGTGCCCCGGAGGTGGGGGCGATTGCGGAAGTAAAAACGACGGGTCCGGAACTTGGTTCTCTCCTCCCCGCCGACCTCAGCCCCGACTCCGATCCCGGTCCCGGCGCTCCCCGCCGACCTCAGCCTCGACCCCCGCTCTCCCCGCCGACCTCAGCCCCGACTCCGACCCCCGCTCTCAACCTGGCTTCGCCACCCCCCCTTCGCCGCCCGGTCTCCGCTGTGTCCGGGTCTGACTCCTGCGGCCCGGGAAGTCGCGTCCGGCTGCTGCAGGCGGTGGACACGGAGTACACCGCGGACTCGGTGGAGTGGTGCCCGCTGGAAGGCAGCAGGCACTTGCTGGTCTGCGGCACCTACCAGCTGCAGAAGCCGGAGGACCCGCGCGCCGACCTTGAGAACAAGGTGTGCGGTGCCCTCCTGCCTTCGGCGGCCTTGACCGCGGCTCTCTAGGTCTGCGCTCCCCAGGTGGCATCTCCAGTCGCTAAAACTCCACTCCTCTTCCAGGAGACGTCTCAGGAAGGGCGGGGAAAGAGTTCAGACATGCAGAGCCTTCCACACTTGCTGGGGCCTGTCGGGCCTGCAATGGGGAAGGTTGGAAGAGAAAAGTCTGTGGAGTCCCCCAGGAGATGAAGATGTACAGTGGCCTTGTGGTCGGAAGGTAGAAGGGCTTTTTTTTTTTTTTTTTTTAAGATTTTATTTATTTATTTAACAGATCACAAGTAGGCACAGCAGCAGGCAGGGGATAGGGAAGCAGGCACTCCGTGAGCAGAGAGCGCAACGTGCGGCTGGATCCCAGGGTCCTGGGATCATGACCTGAGCCAAAGGCAGAGGCTTTAACCCACTGAGCCACCCAGGCGCCCCAGGGACTTTTTTTTTTTTTTTAAGTTTATTTATGTAAGTAATCTCTACACCAGCCCTGAGAGCAAGAGCTGCATTCTGCACGGACTGAGCCAGCCTGGCAATGGGAATGGGTGTCTTGAAAGTCCCCTATACGCAGGTGTGGCTCAAGTTTATGGGTGAAGTCTAGAATAAAGAGAAAATGGGAATTTGAAGGAGCTATATCTAATCTCTTGAAGGCATCTATTCAGATGCAAACCCGGATGCTTTTAAGAATGAGAACTGGTGCCCCAGCAACCTGCTGAAGCCAGGACCTTTCAGGGCTGACTCGGTCCTGCAGCAACCCTACTATAGCTGGTTCTTAGAAGTCCACTTAGAAGAAGCATTCCAGGGGCACCTGGCTGGCTCAGTCAGTAGACCATGCAACTCTTGATCTCAGGATCGTGAGTTTGAAACCCACATTGGGTGTAGAGATTATTTAAATAAAACTTAAAAAGGGGGGGGCACCTGTGTGGCTCAGTGGGTTGGGCCTCTGCCTTCGACTGGGCTGGTGATCTCGGGGTCCTGGGATCATGACCTGAGCCAAAGGCAGACACTTAACCCACTGAGCCACCAAGATGCCCCAATAAATAAAATCTTTAAAAACAAAAAAATTCTAGGGGCGCCTGGGTGGCTTAGTGGGTTAAACCTCTACTTTTGGCTCAGGTCATGATCCCGGGGTCCTGGGATCGAGTCCCGCATCGGGCTCTCTGCTCAGCGGGGAGCCTGCTTCTCCGTCTATCTCTGCCTGCCTCTCTGCCTACTTGTGATCGCTGTCTGTCAAATGAATAAATAAAAAATCTTAAAAAAAAAAATTCCGTGGTGAGCCCAGCAGAGTTTATGTGCCTACCCACTAATTGTATAACACGAGAAGAGACATTTCTGCAGAAAATCAGGGGTGTTGCTTCCAGGTAAAGTTCCAGAGTCTGTTTTGTTTTGTTTTGTTTTGTTTTAAGATTTTATTTATTTGAGAGAGAGAAAGAACGAGCGGCAAGGGGAGGACAAAGGGAGGAGCAGACTCCTTCTTGAGCAGGGAGCCAGACAGGGGACTTAATCCCAAGGCCCTGAGATCATGACCCAAGCCAAAAGCAGAGGCTTAACTTACTGAGCCACAAGAGTCCCAGAGTCTTGGCCAACCTTTTCTTTCCTTTGATTCCTTTTACCATGCCTTGGGTTCTTCGGTATCTATCAGGGTAATCAGAGAATACATCTGTCTTTTCCGTAGAGTGGACTGGATGCTGATGAGGCTCAAACCCGTTTGGGTCGTCTCTACTTGTATAGTTTCAATGAGGACAACTCTGCTCACCCCCTGCTCGAGGTCCAAAGAAGAGATACTTCTGCAATCCTGGACATGAAATGGTATGATGTTGGTAAAAATCTCTCTTGTCTGGAATTCGTCCTGAGTATCTGTTCATTTAATCAGGGAGCCTGATGCCTATCAGCATTCAATAAGACGAGGAAATGTCTGAACTTTTCCATTTCTTTATTGTTTTGCCCACCTGTTGGCCCTGGGAGGGTACTGTAGACTGGGGCTCCTTTCAGTTGTTGTGTTCCAAGTCCTAGGGTTGGTGGGAGTCTGGAAAGTGATGCTCATTTTCTGCTTCATAAGCAGGGGAATCTTGGAACAGAACTGTAGGCTATAGCCTGGTTTTGGAGCTGAAATTTAAGTAAGTTCTTGAGGTCCATAATGCTGTTCCGTGCCCTGGGTGCCTCCTGTGCTCTAACTGGCATATGAATTCTCCCCACAGGTGCCACATCCTGGTGGCTGGCCATGCCCTCTTGGGCGTGGCAGATGCTGGTGGGTCCATAGAACTCCTCCGCTTGGTGGAGTCTGAGGTCAGTGACTAGGACCAGGAGTTGGGGGTGGGGGGGGTCGGAAAGAATCTGAACGGAGAGGGTTTGGGCGTGAGGCTGTGCTGCTGCAAACCTTTCTGTGGCATAATTTCTGTTCAGTGGCAAACTTTATCATAAAGCATTCTAATCTAGCATGCGGTCTGTTTTAAATTACGGGGTTCTGCATCTGACTCTGAGAAGAGGTCACCCATGTGTCCCCAGTGGAAGGGCTGAGGTGACAGGGCATTCATTCATTCACCTGTCAGTGGATCTGAAAGTTCTTCTGTGTGGAAAGCCTGGACCAGCGTTCTTAGGCTAATGCTGCTGGGGCCAAGAATAGCAACGAACTTCCTGTGGGAAAGTGGCACTTGTCACCCATAATCAGGAAGGGATGTGTCTCCCCTGTGGCTTTCTCAGACTGTTTGTTATTGGTCAGTGCCACGTGTTTGCAAAATGACTGCATCTGATGGTCGGAGGCTCGGGAGAACAGGGGAGTCCTGTTGTCGAGGGAAGGCAGAGCCCACAAGACCAGCCCTGACTCGGTGGGAGGGACACACACCAACACAGGTGTGCAGGCGGGACCAGAGCAGGTCCACTTGCTGTTGCAGTTATGGCGGCTGAGGGCTTGTTTGTAAAGAGCCGTGCTGCAGCCCTGTCTGAGGAAGGAGGGAGGAAATAATCTGGGGAAGACTGTGGGCCCATGAACCAGGTTCTGGCAAGAGCAGATCACCCTCAGAGAGGACCCTGAGGAAGCCGCCTGCTAGGAGCCTTTTAAGGGAGGTAGGCATCGTCCAGCTTGTCTAGGTCATAAGATACGTACGTAAGTCTTAGAAAAGAGAAATCGTGTTTAATGGCTAGTTGCAGCTTCTGAAATGGAAACTAGCAGAAAGATCCCGATGTCACTGTCCCTGAAGACAGAGTGTCCCAGCATCCCTGGAGGCGGGGAGAGGCAGGTGGTGTCTGTCAGTGGTGCTTCCTGGGGCCCATGTCTAGGAGTGCATGGACAGCGAAGGGCAGAGAGACCTGCTTCCGCTCAGGTCTCGTGTAGGAGTCCTCCTCCCACAAGTGTGGGAGCGTCTAGAGAGCAGGGGCCAGGTCCAAAGTGTTCTCTCATTCTGTGATGAATCAAGGACTAACACACTTTGTTCGTCTAGTAGTAGAGGAGGGAGTGATGGCCACCTGAGCTAGAGTACTCGTCTTTCTGGGGTTCCAGGCTGTTTCCCTTAGATAGCTCTCCTTTCTGTCCGGTAGAATGCTTACACACTGCAGCCAGTTTCCAGCTTTGCCCTGGGGAAGCAGTGTCTGGCCCTGTCTCTGGATTGGTCCACTGGGAGAACTGAAAGGTAAGACCGGCACTGGTGAGGGGCCCCAGGTTTTCCTCTGGGGAGTCGTTGCTCTTCTCATGCAAGAGAGGTTTGAAACCTCGAGGCAGCCTTGATTGCAGCTTCCCAGACCGGGGAATGTCACTACCAGTCCTAATCTAGAGAGAGCACCTTCCAGCTTTTCAGATAAAAGGAACGGTGTTTTCATCAAGAAAAGCTGACACGGGTTTATTTTAACAAGCTCAGTGGTAGTTTCTGCCAGATGCCCAAACGTCTTAACGGGCAAGTCCGCAGACCAGGTCCATGGGGAACCTCTCCCATGAATATCGCAAGGTGTCACCTGCTGGGAACCAGAAGAGGGTGGTGAGTTTGGGTCAGTGCATACATTCAGCTGGGTTTCTCTCTTGGTTCCCTGCGTCTAGGGCCAGTGACCAGCCCTTGAAAATCATCGGCAGTGACTCCAAGGGGCAGCTCCACCTGCTAGAGGTGACGGAGGCGGGGCTGCAGGAGGTGGCCATGTGGCCTGCCCATCACTTTGAGGCCTGGATCGCTGCTTTTGATTACTGGCGGACGGAAATCGTGTATTCAGGTTGGTACTTCTCCACTGGGTGTTGGCCCCATGAGGGAGGGAGTGAGCAAGTATGGCTCATGTTAGGGCCGTGACTCTGGACGTGTTGGGACCTTGAAGACCCTCTGTGGAGACAAAAGCTGTGGCTGGTACTCTCGACTTAGCCGTTCAGGCTTCGTGGGGTCTTGGGTAGCGCTGACCACGTGCTGGAGCAGCAGAGCCCGGCCTCCTGCCACTCCTGGTATCTGATCCCATGCTCCTGCTGTGAGAAATCCAGAGTTCCCACGTTTCCCACTGCTATTTCTATGTCCAGTATTGACTTTGTGATGCTGGGTTTCAGGCTTGTCTACTTCCTTCTTGGATACAGTTTACCTTCCCAAAGAAAAGGCCGAGAGAGAGGGGCTTGGTTCCCTGGTATCGTGGGTGGTGTGCACACAGGTCCTGATGCAAGGATGAGAAATTCCTCGAGCTAGAGTTTGCAGGAGCAGGGCATCTGTGATCAGCCCCTTTCAGCCGAGTGGAGAGGGCTCATGGGAGATGGGAGGCAGGGGACACCGGCCACTGAGAGAAGGCAAAAGGGGCGCTCCTGGATGTGCAGAGAGGGAAAGAAAAGATCTGACCCTCTCTTCCCTCTGCGGCCAGTTGCCAGTAGTGCTCTAGGCTTCACAGCACGCTGAGGCCAGGGACGTTCTCTTGGACTGTCAGGAAGCTGTGTGGCCCCCCGCTCTCTGCCAGAACCACTCTCACTTGGCTCCTCGGTGCCTGGTCCAGCACCCTCTCAGCTACGTTCCCGTGCTGACTGGCACAGTCTTCCTTGAGTTATCTTGGACTTCTCCTCTGCTGATTGCTCCTTGTTCTACTTTGGGGGCTCGTCCCCTCTGCTTAAAAGTGTCCCTGTCCTCTGGCCTCTGTCTGGTGCTCTTCTCTCTCTGCATTGTCACTCTCCTGACTTCAGCTACGGGCCCTGTCTTCCAGAAACAACTGCATTTTGGTTGCTTAAGCAGACCTCTTTCTTTCCCTTTCCTTTCCTTCGCTTCCCCTTCCTTCCTGTCGCTCTCTCTTTCTTCCTTTTAAGGAAATTTTTCTTAGTTATTTTAAGGCATCTCTGCACCGAGGGTGGGGCTCAAACTCACAACCCTGAGATCAGAGTCACATGCTTTTTTGCCCAGGATTTCATTTTTTTAGGTCTTCTCATTCTTGGATTAGTACTACCTTGAGGCTTAGCTAATTCAGAGCAAGGGTATCGTGGTGGCTATGATTTCATAATTCAGCACCAACTCATTTTTTCACCGAATGTTTATGGAGCATGTGCTGTGTCCGTGCCGGAGATCATGAGTGAACAGGACGGACAGCAGTCCCTGCTTTCACTGAGCGTACGTTGAGACGGGACAGGCAGTGGGCGTGGCACAGTGCAGAGCAGTTCAGAGGTGATCAGTGCTTTGGGAAGAAGAAAGGCAGAGCAGGGTGGAGGTACTGGGGTGTGGGCAGGTGCCGGCTGTCCTGTCACAGAGCACGGTCACTGGGGGCAGAGGCCTCGAGCAGGAGTGAGCCTGCTGCATGGGGAGAGCTGTAGGACCAGAAAGGTGGGAGGAGTGGCAGACAGAAGGTGGGGAGATCAAAGTCCCAGGGCCCTGCAGGCTAGAGGGAGGACTTTGGCTTTTGCTCAGAATGAACTGGGAGCCACGGCAGGATGTTGGGCAGAGGGATGACATCTCCTGACTTACATCTTAGAACCCAAGGGGATCTTTTCCACTAAGGTGTTGAGTGTAGCTGCAAGGACTTGGGGGCAGAGCCTGGAGACCTGCCATGCAGGTGGTGGCAAAAAGGCCTCAGACCAAGTTGGGAGTAGCGTGCGCAGGGGAAGAGCCGTAGGAGTTTGGGTGTCTTTGTGCAGCGGGTCACCAGGGCGTCCTGGTGGTTGGACGTGCTGTGAGACAGGAGAGACCAGCGTGCGGAGAAGCCACTACCGCGCTCTCTGCGAGGCTGCCACCGGACGGCAGCCACCTGTCGGAGGCTCTCCCGCAGGCATCACGCCTGGTGCACCGGTTCGGTCGGTCTCCTTAGTTGTAGGCCATGTTCCTCCGTCTCCCTTCCGTCTGCCGTGGGAATCCGTAGTGTGCTCAGAGAGTGTTGATGGGCAGGTTGAGTGGACGGGGGCCTGGTGGCGGGCAGGTAGGCATGTGGGGGTGTAGACGGTCGAGTGGATGGACGCGGTGGCCAGACCCAGGTGCTTTCATTTGCTCCCCTTCACTCTCCCTGTGGGCCTGTGTCCCAGCCTTGCTCCCCTTCTTCCAAGATAGCCACCAGTCCCCTTTATCTGTTTTTCTTTTTTTTTTTTTATAAGATCTTGTCTATTTATTTGACAGAGACAGTGAGAGAGGGAACACAAGCAGGGGGAGTGGGAGAGGGAGAAGGCGGCTTCCCGCCGAGCAGGGAGCTCGATGTGGGGCTCGATCCCAGGACCCTGGGATCCTGACCTGAGCCGAAGGCAGACACTCAACGATTGAGCCCCCAGGCGCCCCAGTACCCTATATCTTGTTGCTGCTTTTCTTTAAAGACTGTGGATGATGGGACCAGCTTCCCCTTTCTTCCTCTTTTTCCAGTTCCCTAAGACAAGCAGGGGTGCTTTCTACTGTAAGGGTACAAAGGGCACTTCCCTTTAAAACACACAGGGGGGGCTGAAGGTTCCAGAAACGCAAGAAGTGCTCCTGCTTGCCGCCTCCTGCCCACAGTTCCCGTTCAGAGTTCTTTGCTATGGCAGCTTGGGTTTATGGCGCCAGGACCGCTGAGTGCTGGAGCCTACAAAGCGGCCGCTTCAGCTAGGTTGTGACCTAGAAACTCTTCCCCTAACTTCGTGGCCTTCCCCGTTATTCCTCTAGGCTGAGCCCCTCAGCCTCTCCTGTCTTCCCCGCGAGGGCCCTCTACAAGTCTGAAGACACAGTTCCAGCACTGGGCTCTTCTGCCTGCCGGCCCCCGAAACCATGGGATCGCCCATGGCATCAGTGTCCTCCCTGGGGGGGAGTGGCTGCCTCCTGTTGTCAGTGCCATTGTCAGTGGGCCTTTCTGTTTCCACACAGGTGGGGACGACGGCCTTCTGAAAGGCTGGGACACCAGGACGCCTGGCACGTGTGTGTTCACTAGCGAGAGGTGAGTTACCAAGGGGCCAGCCCTCGGCGTGTAACACCAGCGCCCCATCCCTCCTCTGTGGACGTTCCCCTGGGGTTGGGACCCTGCGCGGGCTCAGACCTCGCACTTTTGCCCACAGACACTCCATGGGCGTGTGCAGCGTGCGAAGTAGCCCCCACCAGGAGGACATCTTGGCCACGGGAAGGTGAGTCCCTTCAGGTTGTCCCGGGGCTCCGTCTTCCTTCTTTCATTTCCTTTTCTCATGTTGACCATTGCAGTGCTGTTGGATGGGCCCAGCTGTTCCACCAGAGTATAGAGAGCTGGGCTTGGGAAGGGACTCTGTCCCAGAGGAAGGAGTGGCATGGGTGTCCCTGGGAGGTGGCCCTTGCACCTAGGGGGTGTGGGGGAAAAGCAGCTGTTGGTTTTCCTGCCCCCTCCCTGTGGGTTTCAGCTACGACGAGCACGTTCTGCTGTGGGACACTCGGAACATGAAGGAGCCATTCGCAGACATGGCCGCGCAGGGCGGAGTGTGGAGGCTCAGGTGGCACCCTTTCCGCCACCACCTGCTCCTGGCGGCGTGTATGCACGGCGGCTTTCAGATCTTCAACTGCCAGAAGGCGATAGGCAAGTGGGGGCCCCGTGGCAGGCAGGCCTGGGGTGGGGGTTCCCAGTGTCCCTGCTCCCTGGCTCTGCCCAGCTCCTCCTGCACGCTCTACACATTCCCAGGCTCACACCCTAGTGCCACTGAGGCCCGTACCTGGGCCAGGCCCGAACTCAGTCTGTGGCGCTCCACTTCTTAGCCACAGTCCTCACCTGACCAGCTTGGTCACCCGGGTACCTCCCACTGGTTCGCTGTCCTCTGCCCTGTTAGGACTCTGCTCTGAAAGCGTTACCACCTGTCTCTCCCGTAGCCGTCCTTGGCCCACTTTCTGCCACGTCTTTCCTGCCTGTGCACAGTTGGGTCTGGGTGGCCACATGCTTTCCACACGCTTCAGCTCTCTCCCCCTTGCTCCCACTCTCTGGGCAGCACCCGGTTCCACGTGGGCCTGACCCATATGGGGGCTCTCACTCTAGGTTGGTGTTAACGGTGGGTTCTCGGAGTTGCCAGGCAAACCGTGTCCTTCCTCTAGCCAATCGTCCTTTACCCGGCAGAACTTTTGCACATTTTGTTCTCTCTTCTCAAGCCCCCAGCGCCCCCTTTCCCTCCTCATAGTCTCAGTCTGTGACTCCCCCTCCCTCCTTGTCCATGCGAAGAAGCAACTGAGAGACACCACCTCTACCTCCTCCCTGTGGCTCTGCGGCCCGCCCACTCTCCCCCCGAGCAGGGCTGCGCTCCCGGCTTCCTGTTATGTGTCTTCGGTTCCGCTGTCTTCCGCTCAGGTAGTTCCACGCACGTGCAGTTTCTCAGCCGAAAGCCATGTGAGGTCTTGTGTTTAATGAGACATTGCCCTCTGAGCCCTGCTCTCGCTGCGTGCCATCAGTTTTGGGGTGTGGTATGTTTTCATTCATCTCAAAGTACTTTCTAGGGGCGCCCGGGTGGCTCAGTGGGTTAAGCCTCTGCCTTCGGCTCAGGTCATGGTCCCAGGATCCTGGGATCGAGCCCCGCATCGGGCTCTCTGCTCAGCAGGGAGCCTGCTTCCCCCTCTCTCTGCCTGCCTCTCTGCCTACTTGTGATCTCTGTCTGTCAAATAAATAAATAACCTTGTGATTTCTTCTTTGACTCATTAGTTATTGACGAGTGTGTTGTTTAATCCCAAACTTTTGTGACTGTCCTAAATTTTTTTTTTTTAAGATAGATTTATTTGTTTGACAGACAGAGATCATAGTAGGCAGAGAGGCAGGCAGAGAGAGAGGGGGAAGCAGGCTCCCCGCTGAGCAGAGAGCCCGATGCGGGGCTCGATCCCAGGATCCTGGGACCATGACCCGAGCCAAAGGCAGAGGCTTAACCCACTGAGCCACCCAGGCGCCCCTGTCCTAAATTTCTGACACAGATTTCTAATTTCATTCCTTTGTGGGTTCCTTTTAAGTTTATTGAGACTTGCTGCATGTGTTTGTGTGTGGTTGGTCCCAGAGTGTGTCCTGCATGCCCTTCAGAAGAGCGGGTTTGGTGGCTGTGGGCAGAGTGCTCTGCAGATTCTCTTCAAGGGGTCTGTTGATTTTCTGTCTGGTTGTACGTTAGTTTTTTATTTAAAAATACCTTTTTTTAAGTAATCCCTATGCCCAATGTGGGGCTTGAACCCACAACCCATAATCAGGAGTCGCAGACTCCACTGATGGCTCATTATTTTTTTAATGTGTCTTTCATATTTTCTCATTATTTTTATTATTAAAGATTTTTTTACTTATTTGAGAGAAAGAGAGTGCACAGTGTGTATGCACACTGTGGGGGGAGGGGCACGGGGAGGGAGAATCTCAAGCAGACCCCTCCCCCCCCCCACCCGGCGTGGAGTCCCCCAAGATCATGACCTGAGCTGAAACCCAGAGCCGGACTCTCAAGTGACTGAGCCACCAGGTGCCCCCTGTTGTTGGTCATGGAAAGTGGGCAGTGAAGTCTCCGGCTGCTGTGCTTGTGTTGTGAATTTCTTCCCTCGTTTCTGTCTGTGTCCTCGTGTATTTTGGGGCTCTGTTGTTCGGCATTTGTAGGTTTATGCTGTTTGCATTTTCCTAACGAACTGACCCGAATGGTTGTGAGGGTCCCTCCTGCGGCCTAGGGACTCTGTGGGCTTCAGGTCAGCCCGTCTGGTAGCAGCCCAGCCACGTGCGCCCTCTCGTGGCTGCGGTTGGCACAGCATGTCTGCCCTGTCTTGCTTTCAGTCCGTTCCTAACTCGGAGTCTGAAGTGTGTCTCCCATGCGGGTTTGTGGGTTTTTTTCAGGAACGTTACAAAAGTGACATTCTGCCTTCCTTAGTGGGCTTCGTCAGGGGCCATGTGATGTCATTTTGTCTTTTTCCCCCGGATGAGGCTAATTTGGTCACTTGGTTGAGGTCTCCCCTGGACTGCTTCACTATAAAAATGTTTTTCCTTGTGTAATTAGTACTAATTAGTCTGTGGTTAGAGTGTTTGAACCTTTGTGTTCTTCATCAGACTTTCACTCAACACATGATGATTCTTGCCTGAACAAAATTATTACTATAATTGCAAAGATTTTCTATTTTCTTTTTCTTTTTTTGATTTATTTACTTATTTTAGAGAGAGAGCATGAGTGAGCATGCATGCATGTTCAGGGTGGAGGGGCGGAGGGGGAGGGAGAGCGAATCTTCAGCAGACTTTGTGCTGATCACGGAGCCTGACATGGGCTCTCACAGCCCTGTGATCATGACCCGAGCCAGAACCAAGAGTCGGTCTCTTAACCAACCGCACCACCCTGGTGCTCTGGTATCAGTTTTTCTTCTTCTTTTTTTTTTTTTTTTTTAAGATTTATTTATTTATTTGACAGAGATCACAAGTAGGCACAGAGGCAGGCAGAGAGAGGAGGAAGCAGGCTCCTCGCTGAGCAGAGAGCCCGATGCGGGGCTTGATCCCAGGACCCTGGGACCATGACCCGAGCCGAAGGCAGAGGCTTTAATCCACCGAGCCACCCAGGTGCCCCAGTTTTTCTTCATTTTAAACTTAGCTTTTTTATAAGGAAGAACCATCTTCTCTCCCATATATCTGTATTTATTAGCTGTCCGTATAGATTCGTGTACTTTTATGTTACTCAGTGGGCCATAAAGTGTTGTCACTACTCACTATACCGTTCACATCATCATAAAGCTTTCCCATGAAGACCTCCGGAAGCTGTCTCCTGTGTGTGTCATGTCCCCACTTACTTTTGAGTATTTTCCTCGATTTTTTGGCCACCAGGCCTTCCAACTGGGGACGGCTAAGTCCACACCCCTCGCTCACTGGCCACTAGTTTTCTGGGGCTGCTCTTGCCATCCTTGGCCTCGTCCTGGACCCTAGACTACCGCGGGTTTGGCAACACCTTGTCATTTCTTTTGTTGGTCACATGTTGCTTATATACCTTCTTTTTTTTAAGATTTTATTTATTTATTTGACAGAGAGATAGAGATTACAAGTAGGCAGACAGACGGAGAGGGAGAAGCAGGCTCCCTGCTGAGCAAGGAGCCTGATGCGGGACTCGATCCCAAGACCCCGAGACCATGACCTGAGCCGAAGGCAGAGGCTTAACCCACTGAGCCACCCAGGCGCCTTGCTTGTATACCTTCTGCAGCGAGACTTCTTTCCAGTCCTGCCCTCCAACCTCAAAGGTGCCATAGTGACTCACCATCAGGAAAACTGCCGAAACTCTTTAGTGACTTTTTTCCAAGCTCAAACCCAGACTTTATGGAGCAGGCACTCCAGACATGTGTCGCCGCTCCCTAGTGGCATTGCCTGGCCACTTGTTTGTATTCGCCCAGATGTGTCCTGTTCTGCATTTTCCACATGCTTGTTCTTGTTGTTTCTTGTGCGTCCCTGTCGCTCCCCTTTAGCTAACCCTTTGTCCTTTGCTTTGAAGTCTTCACTGAGAGACTTTGGCCAAGTCTGCCCGCTTGGAAAGGCACCCTTGCCCGTGTGCTCCTGGGGCCATGCTGATTGCTCCCTGTACACATGGTGCACTCACTGCAGGTGAAGGTCTGTTTTCTTCTCACCTGTCACATCTCAAGGGTTCCTTTGCGTGATACACAGTGGTTGCTGACAAATGAATGGCTGCTTTTAGCAGTCTCCCTTTGAGAGTGGGCAGGGGCCATCGGTTGGAAGTGATGAGGTCAACCTGGGTAACATCACATGTTTGGTCTTATTCCAGAGGAGAAGCAGGAAGCCTACACGGTCTCTGTGTCTCACACGTTGTCCAACTCATTGGTGTATGGAGCTGACTGGTCCTGGCTCTACTCTGGCAGCCTGTCACAGATCCACCAGCCGTGCTGCTTGGGGACTTTTCCCTGCAGCAACTCAGGAGCCAGAGCGGCACCTCTCTGTAGCCTGAAGTGTGGACACCAGTCACCAGCAGCCTCTTGTCATCATTCAGCAGAGGACAAGGAAGAGGGTCCTTCCAGACTTCAGAGTGGCAGCAAACGGAGGACTCCTCTCCAGCCACTCGCAGAGGACACGACGAAGAGTGGGAGCTGGCCGCACACTGCAGGGACCAAGGTCTGTGACTGTGACCTCTGTCTGGAAGCAGCGACCTTGAACACTGACCTCCTAGCTACTTGCTCCTTTTATGATCATGTTCTTCACCTCTGGAAGTGGGAGAGCAGCTGAGCTAGGGAAGTTTGGTTGATTTGAGGTCATAAAGGCCATTTCCACAAATAGAACCCGGAGTGTGACTGTGAGTGCACTGCGCTCAGACCCTCTCACTGCGTGTCCTCCGCAGGGGACCGCAGGGCCCAGCGACTTCATGGGCTCTACAGCGTGAACAGTCAGAGAAGCTGTTGGCTTCTCCTAATCTGCGGGGGCATTTCAAGGCCCGGACTCTGCCTGACAGAAAGGGTTCCCAGCTCTCAGACCTGTCCATTTGTGTGAACTGGACATTCAGTTCTTCATACTTATTTAACTAAAGGAAAGTGTGCTTTGCTTTTTTTTCTTGATTTTATTATTTTTTCAGTGTTTCAAGATTGTTTATGCGCCCTCCTTAATAACCCACCACCAGGCTCCCCCAACCTCCCACACTTTCTTTTTTTTAAAGATTTTGAGAGAAACGAGAATGAGCACAAACGGGGAGGGTTAAAGGGAGAAGCAGACCCCTCTGAGCAGAGCCTGATCCAGGGCCCCACCCCAGGACCCTGGGTTCAGGACCTGAGCTGAAGGCAGACGCTTCACCGAGGGAGCCCCCCAGGCGCCCTGAAAGTGTGCCTTTCCTTAAAGCGACGTAACAGCAGTTTTCCGCGCACATTTACAAAGGTCGCCTCACCCCGGCACCGGAAGTGCTTGTGTTGGCCTCCGGGGCTGATGAGCAAAGGCAAGTGTATACACGCTGCGCTGCCGCAGCGAGTCCTCGGCCTGAAACAGGTTAGTGTGGCGGATTAACCCCCTTCCCCTTGCAGCTTTAGTGCCCCAGGGCAGGAACCTAACGAGACTGGGACCCGGACTCCCGGAGGTCGTTCCCGCTCTGGAAGAAACGGAGCGCAGTGCGGCCGGGGTGGGACTGCGTGTGCAGCGTGCGTGCGAGAACGGAGAGGCGGTCGTGCGCCCACCCCGTCCGCCGAGCGGGGCCCCGCGGCAGGGATCCATCCGCACACCCCAAGACTAGGCCTGAGCTCAAGGCAGATACTGGACCGACCGAGGCCTAGACAGCCCAGATACCCCGTCTGCCTTTTGCCTTATTTCCCGACGAAACCTGGACGAAAGCGCCGCGCTGAGTGACCGGTTCCCAGCCGGCGGCGCGTTCCCTCCGACAGAAGACTCCGGGCCGTGTTTAGGGTTTAGCGGCGTTTATCTAGGAATCGGCATTCCCCGGAGCACACACGCCCGGGGCAACGGCTCCAACAGGCGAAGCCGGCGGCCGCGCCGGACCCCAGCCTCTGCCCCGAGCCCACGGGAGGACGCTCGTGGCTTCCCGAAGGGCGGCTCCGTGGCCTGCCCAGGCGCCGTCCTCTGCCGCCGAGCGGGCCCCGCGTGGCGGCCGCGGCTGCTAGCGCGGGAAGTTCCTGGGGTACAGCTGGAAGAGCTTGCCGTCCTGCGTCGGCTCGAAGCCGTACTTCTCCAGCCGCGCCGGGTCCACGGTGCCGTCCCTGAAGTCCTTCTCGACGGCCGGGGCCGCGGCCTCCTGGAACAGCTGCTCGGCCGTCAGGGGCGCGTCCGGGCCCGCGGAGGCGCGGTAGCTCACGTACGGCCGCAGCCTGAAGCCCGCCAACTCGGGCACCACCAGCTCCGGGACCATCTCCTTGACCTGCACGAACTTCCCGTTGCGGCCGTGGACGCCGGTGCCCTTGGCGCCGCGGCCCTTGTAGAAGGTGCGCGGGCCCCGCTTGCTGGTCCACCGGCTCATGCGGTCCGCGCCGCGCACGAGCGCGCGAGCAGCCCCACTCAGAAGGCCCATGCCGAAGCCTGCGCGCCGCGGGAGCCCCAGTCGCCCCACACGCACCGTGACCTGCCGCACTGGCCCCCGCTTCCGGCGGTCCAGACAACTTCCGGCGGTTCGCGCGGCTTCCGGCGTCCTGAGCGGCTTCCGGCGGCCGGCACGGCTTCCGACCCCCGCGCCGAAGCAAGAGTAGCTCCGATTGGTGGCGCTGCGTCCAATGTACAGTCTCGGCCCTGCGAGTGGGCGGGACCTCTGGGCCCCGGCCAATGAGCGAGGAGGTGCGACCTTGACTGCAGGGCGGCGGGGGTAGTGACGGGAGCGCGGGCTTCGGGAGCGCGCGGTCCGGGTGAGTCGCGGCAGAGCGCCCGGAGGTAGCGGGGGCCTGGGTCTGGCTCTGCGAGGAAGGGTATTCGTCAGCGCCCCCAGCCCGTGCCGGGGCGCACACTGCCCCACAGGCCCGCCCGGCCCTGCGCGGAGGGAGGCGGAGCCCGAGTCCTCCGGACGCCCCGGACGTTAACCACCACCCCCAGCCCCGACGCCCGTCGACTCCGAGCCCCCAACTCCGAGGTCCCCCAGTCGTGAGGCCCGACCCCGATGCCTGTCAATCCCCAGCCTCCAGCCCCGACACCAGTAAACCTCGAGCCCCCGGCCTCGCTGGTCCCAAACCCAAATCCCTCACTTCGACGCCCGTCAACCGCGGCTCTCCAGCCCCGACGTCGGCCAGCGCCGGCGCTTGTCTACCCAAGGTTCCCCAGCTCTGATGTCCACCGACACCGACGCCCCCCAACCCCGATGGCCCCCTAAAATAACACCCCCAACCTGGACGGCCACTCACCCCGTTGCCTTCCCGACCTTGCAGCCCCCCGCCCCCGCTTCTGTCGGGCTGTGTGCTGTCTGTGCCCTCTCGGGTGCGGGCCCTGAGCTCTGCCCCACGCGGACACGGAGCGAGGGGCGCGTGGGAAGACTGCCTGGTCAGGGCACTAGCAGGCCTCCGGGCTGGGGGCAGGCGCTGCTGGCCCTTCGGGAGACTCGGCGGAGAAGGAAGGGTTTTCCATGTGGGTGGCCGAGGACACAGGACGTTTGGCCCAGGAGCAAATGCACTATGACCCCGCATCCGCCCTCTGCGCCTGACTTCTCTGGTTGCGATTTTGGGAGAGACACGCCCTCTGTTGCTGCTGCTTTTCTGAGGGGCCTGGGAAACACAGGGGACAGCCCCAGACCTGGCTCCTCCCCACTGGATAGGGGCAAGGTGAACCAGCTCTCCAAGCTCATCCTCTTCTCAAGGTGACACATCCACCGTGAGGACTCAAGCCCACTGGCTAGAAACCCCCCTGAGGCAGGCCACTAGGTTGTCTCACAGTTGCCCTGTGGCACCCTGTGCACCCCTGTCCTGCCCCCAGCTACAGCCCCATCCCTGTGGTCCTGGGAGCTCCTGGCTGCACTAGGCCTTGGCTGAGCCACCCATGCTTGCCCTTGACCTGCTAGGAGAGGAGCTGGAGACTTGGCTGCAGTTGTGGGTTCCTGGGCAGACCGGGAGAGCTGCTCACAGAGGTGGGAGTGGCTCTGGTGGAGAGCACAGCTTTCCATCAGGGGTTTCCTTTGAGTACAAACAGACTTCACAGAGAAAAGGAGCCCAGCAGAAAAGGCTGAAAGCATTGCTCTGCCCCGTGAGCATGAGTTGGCAGGACAGTTGCCCTCCTTTGAACCAGTCTTTCTTCTTTTTACCTTGACTGTTTGTTTTGTTTTGTTTTGTTTTGTTTTGTTTCATTTTTAGCCATGAAGCAAGAGGAGGATGCCAGCCCAGAGGTATGGAACTGGAGGGTTCCAGGGATGAGTCAGAGCCTCGGAATTCCCAGTGAGGGGCGTTTCTGGACCCGGAGAAAGGGTCCTTTCCGCATTTGCACTGTGGGCAGCTCCTCCAAGTCAGCTGAATGGGAGCGGCAGCTTGGGCCCCTTTGTCCCCTCGTCAGAGTCGAGACCCTGCCACTTCTTCCCCTGAGGTCACAACGATCAGTTCCTGCGTCCCCTTAGGACTTTTGCTTGCTTTGACTTGAGTCTTTTCTCCGTGGAACATCTATAGCCGTATCACAAAGCCTTTATTCCTAAAGCAGAAAAGTGGATGCATTAAAACAACTCTGGAACTCCTGAGACGCTCCGCATAGGAGATTGCATAACTAGGTTATGGGCCACCTGTGTGACCCTTTCCTTGGTTATCCTTGGTTGTCCTTGACGGGGTGGCTGAGCTCCAAAGGACGCACCTAAGTGAAGAGTGGGTTGTGGGTCCCGTCCTGGCGACAGCTGGGCACACACTCTGGGCCAGGAAAGGCTCTGTGTCTTGGCTCTGAAGGAAGAAGCTCTCACTGCTTCCACATGTCTGCTCAACCAAATTCAAAGACCTGGTTTTCTGGGCCACTTGCTTATCCTGGTTTGCAGCAACTTTCTGCTCTTGAGCTTTTTTTCCACATGCCCTTCCATTTCACTGGGTTTTCTGGCCTCCATGCTGCATCTGTTGCTCTATCTGAGGATGGGACAAGCTACTTTAGTCCTTGGCACTTGGGGCTTGAGAGGATTAGCAGGTGCCCCTGCCCCATCCTGTTCCTGGCTGCCTGGGGGGGGAGGTATGTGGATACCAGGAGGAATGTGGAGTGGCTGCTTGTTTGGCTGCTTTTTCTCGTTCATTTTCATGTTTTTGGGGAATCCGCCAATATCCATGTAGGTGGCCCCAGGCATCTGCCCATTCACCATCCTGTGCTTGCTTTTTTCTCTTCCTCCTCCCTCCCTTGGGTCTGGGCTTCTGAAGCCGCACTGACTCCTTCCCTGGGAGTCGGGGTTGGGGTAGGCACATAACCTCTCCCTGCTATGAGCTGGTATTCAGGGTTCTCAAAATCCAGAGGACACCTCCAGGTTTCTGACCACTGCTGTGGTCGGCTTCCATGTGCCCCACTGCCAGCAGTGCACAGTCTTGTTGGTCATCGCAGGGCACTGAGGGATGGCCTTCATGCCCCCTGCGGCCAGCCGGCCTTGCTCCTCTAGACTTGGGTCTGAGAGACTTGAAAGCTGAAGATTTAGGATTCACAAGTGGTAAAGATGCCTGTGATTTGTGGTCAACACAGCACAGCTCCTGGCCCACCCCGGCTGCCTGACTGTCCCCGTGTCCCGTGGGTCACCGTGGGAGACAGGTTCCTCTGTCTCCTGAGCAGACATGCCCAGAGGACCTCAGCAGCCCAGAAGATCACTTCTTCCCGGGCTGCTGGCTCCCTCCCTAGCCAGCAGCTCTGTTCTTGCTGCCCTGTGCAGCCGGGGCCATGCCTGTGTTGGCCCTTCCTGACCATAGTGCTCTGCCCTAGGCTGACTTCTGTTTGGGTTCCGCCCTACAATCCTGGGGCCTGCAGTTGACGGAGCAGCACTCACAGTCCACCATGGTAACCACCTCCAGTGCTTCCTGGTGGCGGGGGGCCCTGGGGTTCGTGGCCCCTTGCACTCCAGGCCACTCCTTTGTGGCCAGGGTGGGGAGGGGCTCTTTGGCCGTCTTGCTGATTGGTGCTCTTTGACCTTGCCCAGCTGATGGGGATTGTGATTGGAGCCCTGCTGGCCCTGGCCCTCGTTGGCATCACTGTCTTTTTTGTGTACAGAAGGGTTAGCCAAGTCCGTGAGTATCTCGCTTCAGACTCCAGCTCTAGGGGTAAGGGACAAGGGCTTGGGAGGGTGGCGGAGGTTTGGGTGTCTTGCCCATGTTCGCAGCTCCTGGGAGCAGCTCTCAGAGCTGGGGTAGCTTTTGTTGGGAACTGCTGGCTTGTCCCAGCTGAGACTGTGCACACTGGACCCATGGGATTTGCATATGTCCCAAGCTTTTTTGGCTCACGTTTCTGAGCAAGACTTTGGTAAGAAATGACGCGAGTCCTGCTCCCTGTGAGTCAGCCTGTGCCCGCCCGGGCCCAAGAGGCCACGTGCGTTTTCCCATGCTGTATGCCGTAGCAGGGGCAGGACAGGCTCGGTGCGCGCACCCTATGGGTTGCCTGGCAGAACCTGCCTCTCTGTGGCTCAGCAATCCCATCTCTCCCCTTGCAGGACAGGTACAGCCCACTCCTCAGTACAGGTTCCGGAAGAGAGACAAAGTGATGTTTTATGGCCGGAAAATCATGAGGAAGGTAACCTGTGCCGCTTCCCACAGGCCCCAGCACAGTGGGGCCCCGAGCAGCCCGCGGCTGCCCTCACCCTGCAACACCGCGGCCTCTGTACCCTCAGAGACGGTTAGCCAGTGTGGAGAGACGGAGGCCTCATCGGCCTGTGTCCTGGGGCACAGCATGTCCTGGCTTCCATGCTGAAATCGGGGGTCCTGCCGAGATGTAGACACGGGAAGGCCTCCCTTGTCAGCATCAGTCCCCACGTGGAGAATAGATGGGCTGGTCCAGTCCTTCCCGGTCAGCCCCGGCCCCCTCCCACCCCCGAAGGCAGGAGGGACTCAACACTGCCCAGGGCTTGCCCTGCTTGAAATACGAGTAGCTGCTGGCATTTTAGAGCGGCCTCTCCTTGCCACTTGCCCTGGGTTCGCCGCTACTATGCGTTCTCTGTAGCGAACTCGAAATCCCACAGCAGGGGCACCTGCAAGGCTCAGTGGGTTGAGCCTCTGCCTTTGGCTCAGGTCATGGTCTCAGGGTCCTGGGATCGAGCCCCACATTGGGCTCCCCGCTCAGCAGGGGAGCCTGCTTCTCCCTCCCCCACTCCCCTGCTTGTGTTCCCTCCCTTGCTGTGTCTCTCTGTCAAATGAATAAATACAGTCTTTAAAAAAAAATAAATGCCACAGGGAAGGTCTGGGAGTCCTTGTGTGGACTTCACGTTCTTGGCTTCAGGCGGTGACATGGAGGTGCACCAGCACTGGCGACAGGCCGTGGCGCAGGCTTCAAGCCTAAGCACAGTTGCCTCAGCTTAGTGAGGGCCACGTGCGCTGACCTCAGGCAGGTCTTGAAGGAAACTGCATGGGCTCGAGTTGGGAGGCAGTTAACCAGTGGTTCCACCAAGGACTGCAGTGGCCAGAACTGGGCTGAGGAGGACAGGGGAGTGGTCCAGTGGTGCCAGGTCAGCTGGAGGGAAGGAGGAGTTGTGACCTCACACCCATAGCTCACACCATGAGGCACGTGCCGCTCGGGGAGCAGAGGGGCAGTGGCTGCCCACGGGGGGTGGCTGACGTCCAGGAACCAGCGCTCTGCACTCTTACTGCCGCTCTTACCGAGGAGCAAATGAGCTAGCCTGGGGGGGTGGTGAAGGGGCAAAGACTTTCTAGACCCAGGATGGTCAGGCAGGGACTCGATTCTGGGGGAGTGGGGGCTGGGGGAGGCATTGGACAGGACGGGGCTAACTTTATTTATATATTTATTAGAGAGAGATGGTGTGCATGCATGAGCAGGAGAGGCAGGGAAAGGGAAGGAGAATGCCAAGCACACTCCATGATGAGCCCAGAACCGGACACGGGGCTCGATCTCACAACCCTGAGGTCATGACCGGAGCCAAAACCAAGAGTTACATTCTTAACCAACTGCGCCACCCAGCTGCCCTGGGGCCAGCTTTCAAAAGGCTGTGGAAAGGGGCTGCTATGTCAGTGTAACAGAGGACAGGCTGAGCCCCAGGCTTGCCTGCAGAGGGAACGCAGGCCTGAGGACCTGGTGCTCTCTCGAGGGCGTCACTGTCCCCAGTACCAGGGATGGTCCCCATGTGCTGGGCAGGTGGGCAGGCAGGGCCGGACCCTGGGAGCTGATGCCAGGGCTGCAGGCGGCCCACAGGGCAGGTGCTGGGGGCTGAGGCTGAGGCCAGGTCCATTAGGTCCCGGCTCAGGACTCGGCCTCTCCTTTTGGCCTGCAGGTGACCACGCTGCCCCACGCGCTGGTGGGTAGCACGGCGACCCCCCGGCAGCGGGTGCGGAGGAGGCCCAAGGTGCTGTCTTTGGCCAAGAGGTACTAGGAGTGTCCTTCGGAGCACACGTGCCCCTGCTGCCCTCCCTGGAGGGCACTGGTGAGCCTGCTGGCCATCGCTGCTGCCCCTGGCTGCCCTGCCTCTGTGTCCACCATGCTCATGCCATCTGCTTGGAATGCCCTGGGGCTTCAGGTGCACGGATCTCTGCTTTGTAGGATTCTGCGTTTTAAGAAGGAGTACCCAGCCCTGCAGCCAAAGGAGCCTCCGCCCTCCCTGCTGGAGGCTGACCTCACAGAGTTCGATGTGAAGAACTTGCACCTGCCATCAGAAGTTTTGTACATGCTGAAGAACGTGCGGTAAGACAAGGAGGCCCGCTGCAGGAGGGCCCAGGCCACGCTTCCTTTCCTGGGGCCACCCCTGCAGCCCCTCGTGCTGCTCTCCCGTGGTTTTGGAGGCTTGCCGGCATTTCCCTGTTCAGGAGGAAACTCAGAGCAGGTGTGGGGAGCGCGAGGCTGCGTCGAAGCTACAAGCCTTCAGTCTCGGGCTCCCTCCCGTCTCTGCCTGGAAACCCTGTTCCTCTTTCTAGTGCTGCTTTGCCATCCCAGGCTTTTGTGCGCGCCTCTGGCTTGGAGTCACAGTCATGGCTCAGGCGTTCTTTAAGCTGATGGAAAAGCAGTTTATGGGAATTTCCGAAGTTTCCGCTTTGGTCCTGACGTGGATCAGGTGGCTAGTGCTGACTGGCGGGGGTAAACCCCCGCTCTGGGGATCTAGCCAGTGCTGACGGTGGCAAGGGCCATATCTCCATCAGCCTCCACCGGTCCTTCCTGGAAGGTCTCCCACACGTGCTCTGGTTTCACAGGGTCCTGGGCCACTTTGAGAAGCCACTGTTCCTGGAACTTTGCAAACACATGGTCTTTGTGCAGCTGCTCGAAGGAGAACATGTCTTCCAGCCAGGGGAGCCGGATACCAGCATCTATGTGGTGCAGGATGGGCGCCTGGAAGTCTGCATCCAGGACGCGGTAAGAGTGCCTGGTGGCGTTGTGGGGGGGCCGAGGGGGAGCAGGGCAAGGTGGACAGTGTGGGTCTGCTGTATTGTGTTTGTTAAGTCAGCTCTGTACCCCACATGGGGCTTGAGCTCATGACCCTCAAATCAAGAGCTGCACACACTACCATCTGAGCCACCCAGGCGCCCCCGCTGTGTTTTTACTAACACGTCTGCCGCGTAAAAGATTCTTAAATGGTTCCTACTGAAAAGTTAGTATAAAATTTTAAGTTTCTGTTCTTTGGGGAAAGGCACACTTTGCTGTCACAGGTGCTGGCGCAGGGTCAGTGTGCCCTTGACATCGGTGTGCTGGCTTCACTTGCGCGTGGGGCGTGCCTGTCACTTACTGGGTTCAGTGGCATTTGGGGGTTTCCCGCGCTCTAGCTGTTCCAGGCCCTTGGAGGCGCCATGCCTGTCTCCTTAGAGTGCCCCAGTAGCCACCCCCTGTTGTTGGAGCAGACTCTTGGGGGCCCCAGACTGCACAAGGTGGCCCCCTGACTTTAAGGAAGTCCCTACCAGCTTGAGCCCGTGGGGTGGGCCCTGACCCAGCAGGGCTCCCACAAGTCCTTTCTAGACACGGTGCTGTCTGTGTGTGGCTTCGTCTACGCTGGACTTGAAGGGTGATGAGAAAGGAAATGGTCTTCATCCAGCCCTCAGCGTCCAGGGCTGTCATCAACCCAGCTGGTAGGCCTTTCCTGGAATGGAGCCTTTGGGCCAGAAAGAAGGGTTCTTGGAGGCTGACCTGGGCCAAGTTTGAACAAGTTCAAAAAGGGTTTTCCCGGGTCCAGCTGAGATGAAGTTCTTATACTAAATAACCATCATAGTACTCGTTTCTGTTTTAATCCAGTGGAAAAGTATATCAAAACACAATGATTGCAAACCATAAGAGACTCTTAATCTCACAAAACAAACTGAGGGTTTCCGGGTGGTGGGGGGCAGGTAGGGAGAGGGGGGTGGGGTGATGGACATTGGGGAGGGTGTGTGCTATGGTGAGGTGTGTAAACCTGGCGATTCACAGACCTGTACCCCTGGGGCTAATGATACATTATGTGTTTATAAAAAAATAAAAAATTTATTTAAAAAAATCACTATGATTTATAGCTGTAAGAACTGAATTTGGGCCTCACAGCCTTCTGTTTAGATCAGCAGACCTCTTAGGTTTTGTGAAATTCAGTCTAAGTCCTCCTAGTGAGGACAGGCCATGGGTTGAAGGGCCCAGCTCCGCCTGGACGTCTTGACTGCTCTTACTCAGCCTCGTGTTTTCTGTCTTCTGCTTTGGACATTATCACATCTGGAATTGCCGGAGGTCCACTAGGGCATGGCCTAACTCTCAGGACAGGGGGCAGTGGAGGTCAGGTGGCCCAGCTAGCCCGGGCTGGGCAGGGCCTCTGGTCAGCAGATGACTCTGCTCTGCTTCCCGACCGCAGGACGGCGCTGAGGTGGTGGTCAAAGAGGTTCTGGCCGGAGACAGCGTCCACAGTCTCCTCAGCATCCTGGACGTCATCACCGTGAGTCCCCTGGGTCCACCCAAAGTCACCGGGACAGCAGATCCCCTGCGCCAAGGCCAGTTCTCCCCAGTGGCGAGGGGCTGGGGTATGGACTGGGGTGCACAGGACTCCCCATAGGCCAAGGGTGTGTGTGGGAGCAACTTTAACTGTGTGTTCAAGCAGAGCTGGCATTTGCTTATGCATTTTGACTGTTTTCAGTGATGGTTTTTTGGACTGAGTGGTGTATGCACATGGTCTGCAATTCAAAAGGGACAACCACTGTGTAGTGAAAACATTCCTCTCATCTCTTAGGCCCCAAGGCCCCTTCCTGGGAGGGGCCCTCCTGTGGGCTTCTGTGCCAGCGGGTATCTCTGTTGTCCCCAGTCTTCTGCTGAGCGTTGTGGTGAATGGTTTTGTGTGCACACGGTTTCATGTATTTGGCTGCGGAGATGACCTGGATGTGAGGGTGTGCACGCTGCCCCACGCCTGAGCCACAGTCCTGTGGTAGGATGCCATGTCCTCACCCACCAGCCAGGCAGTCATCTCGTGTTTGATCTTCGTCAGTGCAATTACAAAATAACACCTCATGTTATCTTGTGATGTTTAAACTTACTGGCCTGGAACATTTTTTTATTTTAAGATTTTTATTTATTTGAGAGAGAGTGTAAGCAGGGAGAGGGACAGAAGGAGAAGCCGACTCTCTGTCGAGCAGGAAGCCCGAAGCCGGGCTCAATCCCAGGACCCCGGGATCATGACCTGAGCCAAAGGCAGTCGTTCAACCCACTGAGCCACCCAGGCGCCCCGTCGTCAGACATCTCAGACACAGGCAGAAGTAGAGAGAATAGTAAAATCAGTTATGTGTGCATCATTAGCTGCAGAAAGCCTCAGCTCAGCAACCTGTTCCTTTCTCACTGACTAGAATTCACTCTGATTTTCTCCTCCAGAGTCCAATCTCTATACAGTGAAACAAATCTTAAGCATGCACCGCCCGAGTTCTGATAATGCACACGCCTGCATAGCTCAAAAGGTGTATTTGATTTTCTCCTTACCTTCCAGGCTCTACTTCCTGCTTTCACTTTTAGCTGTTCACCAAGGCAACGTGTACCTCAGTTTCCCCCAGACATTGCACAGAGGGGTCTCCAGAGTGGTTTAACAGGCCTTGGCAAGGATGCATCCATGTGGGGCCAGGAGTTTCGGTATTTGGGTGACACTCATGATGGGTGGGGCCCTGGGTGGGTATCCTGTGATGTAACCCCGGGCGCTTGTGTACAAGGGGATGACAGACTCGAGACTTGGGGGTGTTTGTGGTGCTCCTCCATCCCTGCCAGGCTGGCACAGACCTGCTTTGGGCTTTGCCAGGGCCTGGGGTGGGGGTGATGCTAGGACTCTAGCATCTCGCTCTGCCCCCAGGACCTGGTGTGTCTTCATAAGACGCTTGGCCAGCACTGAGAGAGACGCCGCTTCCTCTGAGTGAGGCTGAGCTGCCTCGAAAGGCCAGTGCCTTTGCCTACGTGCTGTGCTGGGAAGGGGCTCCCAGGTGTGCAGGGCGGGTCACGTGCAGCTCTGCGGGACTCTGGCTGGTATGTGTCAGAATCTGTGAGGTGTACTGTGAGTCTGAGATGCCCAGGAGGTGTAGACGAATTGTCTGTCTCCATGGAGACCAGTCGGGTGTCATGCAGCTCCGTGGCCTCCCTCTGCTCTGGAGAGGGTTAAGCAAAATGTAGCTTTGGTGGAGGCTCTTCTTGGTGCTTCTTGTCTCACTGTGATTTCAGACGTGGACAGGAGACACGCGCTGTGACCAGGCCGCCCCGACCTGCTACGTCCCTGCCCTCCTCCTGCGGTGGGAGCGCGCCTCCCTTCAGTGGGGCAGGGTGAGGAAACAGGGCAGATGTTCGAGGGAAAATGATCCTGTGTTGTGATTAATTGGTCATCTGGAGGGACATCATTTCTGCCTAATCCAGTATTTGTGTTTGTCCCTTAAATTAATTCTATCCAAGTAAAAGATTCTTTTCTTTTTTTAAAGATTTTATTTATTTGACAGACAGAGATCACAAGCAGGCAGAGAGGCAGGCAGAGAGAGAGGAGGAAGCAGGCTCCCTGCTGAGCAGACAGCCCGATGCGGGGCTCGATCCCAGGACCCTGAGATCATGACCTGAGCTGAAGGCAGAGGCTCGACCCACTGAGCCCCCCACAGGTGCCCCAACAGACAGATTCTAAAAACAGTTTAGGTGTTTTATGAGTCATTTGTCCGTCCTGCTGCCCCTGCCCAGAAAAGCCGGTTCCAGTCTTCTGGGGCATCTGGGGCAGTGGGGAGATTTGGCCCTTGGCTGAAGTTTGCCATCCTGGACCATCAGTGTGACCTGTCAGGACTAGGTTGATCAGGCTCAGTGGGGCCATAAGGTAACCTGGGTTGCTGGAAATGTCCTATACCTTCATTCGAGTGCTGGATCTATGGACTAATGATAAAAAGAAAAGTAGCGCGAGCTCCTTGGAAGATGGCTGAGAGCCCGTGTGCTCAGGGTTTGTCCTCCGGGGTTCACTGCAGGAAGGCTGGCAGGGGCCCCACAGGTCACCATCGGCAGCTTTTCTCCTCTAAAGCCAAGTCTCAGACAGGAATCTGCCAATGTCCCGCCATCGAGGAAGTGGCTTGGAGTCGGGGAAGGAGTGTGGGGTTGCCCCGAGCAGGCAGACACTGTCCTCCCGCCCAGGTGTGAGATGGTGCCTTGCCCTTGGCTCTGCTGAAGGTCTAGGTGCTCGGCCTGTCTGCTTCACCTTCTGCAGGACCCCCGCGGCCCGCTGCAGGGTGGGGAGGGGGCTCGGGCCTTCCCATGAGGGTGGGTTTCACCATCTTGGCTCTCTACCCCCAAAGGGAATGGTTCAACTTTCATCTGACAGTTAGTTGTGTCAGCTGCCACTCTGTCACATACTTTCCCCTAGCTTCCAAAATGTGGCTGAAATGTCTCTTCTGCTCTTAGCTTTTGTCTTGACTCTTGGAGGTGTCTTTCTTTCTTTCTTTTTTTTTTTTTTTAAGATTTTATTTATTTATTTGACAGACAGAGATCACAAGCAGGCAGAGAGGCCGGCAGAGAGAGAGGGGGAAGCAGGCTCCCCGCTGAGCAGAGAGGGACTCGATCCCAGGATCTTGGGACCATGACCCGAGCCGAAGGCAGAGACTTAACCCTCTGAGCCACCCCGGCGCCCCCTTGGAGGTGTCTTTCTAACAGAGCAGAGACCAGTGGGCCTGCCGTAGAGATGCACACTCCCCTTCAAACTACCCTCTTTAATGGGAGGTGGGCTTTATTATTATTTTTTCCGACTGAAGTAACAACATACTCTTTTGATACCTAGGCAGTTTTGATTCTTTTAGTTTTTTTCCATTTTACTGAGAAACGGTCGGCACGTGTGCCTGCATGCGTGTGCTGCACGGCGGGGCGTCTCGGTTTACCTCTGCTGCGAGGTGATCCCCACGACAGGTCCGGCTCACACCCATCAGCTCACGGAGACACATTTAAACGAGCTGTGATGGGCTCCTGAGGCACCCCCTTCCCAGCGTTCCTACGTGTCCTGCGGCAGCCACGGGAACCCTGGCGCGCGTTGTATCCCTGGTGCTCACCGTCCTGATGCTCGAGCTGGAACTCGGGAACTTTGACCACCTTACCCCAGCTCCCCTTCCCTTACTACGTTAACTTTTACAGACCTTATGGAACATTCCACAGATACAGGAATGGACGAGGTAGTAAGCAGCCACGTGAGCTGTCACACAGGCCTGTAGCCATCACCAGGCTGCCTAGCTGTAAACCCGCCCTCCACTGTCCCTCTCCTTTCGTCAGAGGACAGCTGCGCCCTCTGCAGCACGTGGCACGGAGGCTCCCGCCTTGACCCTGCGTGGCTTCATGTTGCGCGTGGCTCCTTGGCTGTCGGGCCTCTGCGGGTTGATGGGGCCAGGCCCCCGCGGGCAGGCCGTGTCCCAGTCCGGCCGTCCACACCACCGTCCCGCTGCCCACTGTTCAGCTTGTTTACTGTTGTTTCTCATTCTGCCGCTGCTGCTGAGCACGTTTGGAAAAGCAGGAGGCGTTCCTGGGCGTCTGCGCCTGCGCCTTGGGCACACTCTCAGCAGGTCAGGCTCTCTCTGTGGTTCACACAGTTTTTCCATCTGAGGTGAAGTTCGAAGTGTTGTTTTTCTAAATCAGTCAATTTGGAAATAAGTAGCCCACGAGCCAGTTTTAACAACAGTGGCTACACGGTCATTCCCTTTTCCCACCTTTTCCCCAAACATAGCACCTGCTTTTCTCTCTGATTCTTGGACAGAGATGAGAATTGCCATCTGATGGGGTTTGTGGGGTCCTCCCTTGGCTCTCCCGGGACCTCCTAACTGCTTGACTTGCTTGTGAGTGGGAGACTGGGTGAGGCCACCTGCAGGACACAACTTCTACCCACTGTGTGCCCACAGAGGCAGTGCCCACTCTCTGTAGGGTGGCCGAGTGGTGTGTAAGCGATGAGGGGTGTGCGGGCACCTTTGGCCTCACGAGGGGCCAGGGAACCCAGAGCCGGCCTGTACTTTCTGTGCTTTAATCCCTGGCAGGCGACTGCTCTGTGCTCCTGTTTCTTGTGGTATAGTTGTGGTCTCCCAGGGACACTTTTTTTTTTTTTTTTTAAGATTTTGTTTATTCATCTGACAGAGGTCACAAGCAGGCAGAGAGGCAGGTGGGGGGGTGGGGGAAGCAGGCTCCCCGCTGAGCAGAGAGCCCAATGTGGGGCTTGATCCCAGGACCCTGAAATCGTGACCTGAGCTGAAGGCAGAGGCTTAACCCACTGAGCCACCCAGGCGCCCCACACTTTTCTTTTTATAAAGGATGTGAAATGAGCAGAAAAGGGAAGAAATATAACGGAGTCACAGAGCTCCTTAGAGTGTTTTGAGAACCACATGTCCAGGTTCCCAACGCACAGGGCGTGGTCAGGAGGTCAGAACTACCACAGCTCCCCACTGTGGGCAGACTTCCCGGCGTGGCCAGCCCCGTCCTGAGACTGCCAGGCCTCACCTGTGAACACAGACATCGCTAGCTGGGTGAGAGGCTCCCCTCAGGAACCAGAGCCAAGACTGGCCACGTTCCTCACTATTCAGCCCTGGCAGTGCAGCCGTGGTGTGTGTGTGGGCCACAGAAACCCATCCGTGGCTGGGGCGTAGCGCGGCGTGGTGCAGCCACTGTGGAAACAGTGTGGTAGTTTCCTGAAAGTTAAAGATGTGTGTACTGGGCGGCCCAGAAGCCGTATGTGAACATTTATGACGGCTATCTGTATAATCGCCCCGAACTGGAAACAAGCCAGACGCCCTTTAGAGCAGCACAGCAGGCCTCAAGCTGCCGTCTCAGGGAAGGGAGCCAGCGCTGTGTGATGCCATTTATGTGACGTTTTGACAAAGGCAAACTGTCAGGACAGATGGACGCCGGTGGCTGCCGGGAAGCATCAGGGACGGCTCGGGCGGCGTCCTGGCTGGAGAAGCAGGCTCCGCGTGCTCCTGCTGGGCGGGGGGCCGTGGCAGGCGCTTCCGTGTGCAGCCACATGCTGGTGTCTCGTCCCTTTTGGGGACGGGGGTGCTGGGAGCGGCCTGACCTTGGTGTCCTTGCAGGGCCACACCGCTCCGTACAAAACTGTGTCCGCCCGCGCTGCTGTGCCTTCCACCGTCCTCCGGCTCCCAGTGCTGGCTTTTCAAGGCGTGTTTGAGAAGTATCCTGAGACCCTAGTGAGGGTGGTGCAGGTGGGTCCCGTGCAGGAGCCCCTCTGGCCCTGGCGCCGGGGTGCCAAGTGCTTACCGCAGCTGCGGCGTCGGTTCCGAGGGCCGCACACCCAGGAGGGTGCGTCTGCCGCAGGTGCAGGAAGGACTACGGTGGATTTTTGAAGGATTTGTAACATAAATTTTATAGTCAAAGTTAATACTCATGACCTCAAAGAGGTCTTCAGAGCTCCCACTTGCCCCCCAAAGGGTTGTTTTTTTACTAAATTTGTCATTTTCAAGTAATCTTAGATTTATTGGCAACCTGCACAGTCAGTGCAGTGTCCCTGTGCGCCGACGGCTGCCATCCTGGGTGCGCACGGGGCACTGTCAGGCCCGGGGGCTTCAGGTTGTGCTGGGGCTGGGGCCTGCGGGAGGCATGGGCCCAGCACAGCTGGCTGTCCCTCACAGATCATCATGGTGCGGCTACAGAGGGTCACCTTTCTGGCTCTGCACAACTACCTGGGCCTGACCACAGAGCTCTTCAACCCAGTGAGTGTGGCTTCGCAGCCTCCCCGTGGCGCTGGGACCCTGGGCCTGGGGAAGGGTTGGTGGGGCTGTGTTTACTCCTCTGCCTTGAAGCCGGGGCTGGCGGGTGAGTCGGCAGCTTGATTCTCACAAGGCCGTGCGCTGAGAAACTGGTCCCACCTGAGAGATTTGGGGGATGGGACCCCTCCAGTGCCCATTCTGGGAGAGCCTATAGTTTGGCCTGAATGTGGCTCCTTCAGTCACCTCGATCCATAAGGTCTCCTGCCCCTTTCCTGTTGTCCACCAGGCACACGCTGCCTGCCTGCCAGTGGAGGCAGTCCCCTCCTGTCCTTCGGGGTTCCTCCTGTTGGCACTTGGGGCGGAGGGGCCAGCTTGCTTCCTGCAGAGCTGCTGTGAGCAGTCGATATAGATGAAACCCTCGTGGGTCCTGCTTCGAGGGGGCCTGGATGCGGATCGCTCATTCCTGGGGTCAGCCCTGCATGTGGGGTTCTCCTGCTTCTGATGGGTTTTAGGGTTTATCGTCTTCCTTCACTGGTATTTTAAGGCAGATCCTTTTGTTTTCTGCATTACCTTTCTTTTTAATGAAGAGTGTTAAGGTTTCTGACAATGTTGACCACCATTTAAATTTGATAGAGTAGCCAAGAGAAAGCCCACTGGGCTCCTGTTGCTTCAAGCACACGGCTGGTCTCTGTGCTGGTCACCACCCCTCTTGTTCTCCCAAGTGTGGCTGCTGAGAGCACTAGCCCAGGTGAGACCCTGGAGCACCGGCTGCTCTCTCACATCCCAGGAGAGCCAGGCCATCCCCCTGGTGTCTGTGGCAAGTGTGGCTGCCGGGAAGGCCAAGAGGCAGGCCTGCTGCGGCTCCGAGGATCGTCTGGAGAGGCCCCTGCGGCCCCAGGAGACCTGCGACCCAGGTACAGTCCCCAGACTGGCCTCCAGCCTGAGTCTGGGTCTCCTTCCCACCCCAGGCACCCCTCCCGTCTCCCCGGTCTCTGTGGGAGGACTTGGCCCCACGGAAAAGCTGTCAGGAGCAGATTCCAAGCCTCCTGTTGCTCCGAGCTTTTGAGAAGGTCCCAGATCTGGGGAAGGAAACTGTCCATTGAGGCTTCTTGGCTACGAGTCACCTTAAGGGTGATTGTAACACACAGCCACGCTAATGAGTGTGGTGTAGCTCACCTGTGTGTTTAGACTCACGGACCAAAGCTGCGGTGCGCAGCTCAGAGCCTTCCCAGAAGGTGGCTTTCAGGCTCATTCACCTGAGGAGCTGGTGGAGCGCCGACGTGTGCCAGGCTCATGCCAAGTGTGCCGAGATGGTCCCCTCAGCTAGGACCGCCACTGGGAAGGGGACCCGCAAGTCCTCAGCCTGGTGGAGGAGGCTGGCCGCGAGGGGCAAGTCAGTTCAGGAAGACCTAGGCGGGGCAGAGCAGGGCCTGCGTCCGAGGCCGGCACCGGCCTGCCATGCCTCAGGCAGGTGGGCGCTGACACTGAGGCCTCGGGGCCTTGAGACGTGAGCTTTGTGTGCCACCGTGAGAACAGAGGCCTTCCTTCCTACCCGTCCCCTCCCAGCGGATCGAGGGGGCAGCCGTGCAGCGGGCTCGGGGCCACCGCTGAAGAGGAGCCGGTCCTTCCCACTGCCTTCCGTCCACGAAGAGACCCTGGATGAGCTCAGCAAGGCCCGGGCAGGAGACCAGACGCCTCTTGTCCCACCCGGTAAGGCATTGGACACCCTGAGCTTGGAGCATTTACGGGTGGGCAAGCTCTGAGGCCTAGAGGACCCTGTGCCCACACTCTGGCTCAATTAGGTGCAGTGGCGAGTGTCTTGCTGCCCTGAGCGTCCTGTGGGCTCCTCTCTACACTGCCCTGTTTTACCCTTGCCTCACATCTGTGTCCCAGGGCTCCGCATCCCTGAGGCTACACCGGGCTGCTGCGGGAGTGCCTCCCCCAGGGCCATCCTTTCTCCCCTGTGCTGGGCTGTGGTCGCTAGCACACCGCTGTGTGACATCCTCTGCTGAAATGGGTCTCCTAGGCCCTCTGGCCCTTCAGCTGCCACCAGGACCTGCTTTCATTAAAGCCGAGTTCTCAGGGCGCCTGGGGGGCTCTGTCGGTGAAGCGTCTGTTTTCAGCTCATGTCATGATCCCGGAGTCCTGGGGTCTGGCTCTGCATCGGGCTCTCTGCTCCGCGGGGAGCCTGCTTCTCCCTCTTCCGCTTCCCCTGCTGGTGTGTTCCCTCCACCTCTCTCTCTCTCCTTTTGTCAAACAAGTAAATAAAATCTTTAAAAAATGAAGCCAAGCTCTCCAGGGACTGTCCACGCGGGCTCCTCCCCGCTCTGCCTCTGCTGCGCTGTCTCGGAAGCTCTCTGCCCCTCTCTGGGCCCCTTGCCCACAGGACCTGGTCATGGGCTCCGTGTGCTGCAGCCTGGACACTCTCCCGGGGCGACCCACGGTGCTGCCAGGGATTCTCCTGCTCACTCCCCACTGCCGTCTGCACAAACTAGCTCGTTCCTTCTCACCTTCTAATTCTGCTCTTACGTTGGGGAGTCTGTCTTGTTTTTGTGAGTTCTCTGAGTCGTTGGCAGTTTCATCGTCTGGTGTGTTTGAGACCCGTTTGGGTTCCCTCTTCCAGAACTGTCCGTTCAGGGGTGCGTGGCTGGCTGGGTCAGTAGAGTGTGTGATGCTTGATCTCAGGGTCGAGCTCGAGCCCCACGTTGGGTGTGGAGACTACTTTAAAAAAAAAAAAAAGGGACTGTCTGCTCATACTGTCCGCCCATTTTCTGCAGGTTTCCTGACTGTTTCACTGGTCTGTGTTAATTCTTCACGTGCTCTGGATAGGGCCCTTCCGTCACTTGTTATTGTCGAGACGCCTGTTTCTGGCTCCTGGAACAGGAGCCACGATGCCGCTGTACTGCACACCCCGCGATCGGCGTCTAGCGCCTTCCTCCGTGCTCTGGCCTCATTCACTGGGGCCTGAGCGTGTCCTCCCAGGTCCTCTTCTGCAAGCTGCATCGTTTGCCTTCCGCACGTGCTGTTCCCTTTGCCCTTCCTGCTTGTTCGACGTCAGAGATTCCGCCGTTCCTTACTCTGTGTGGTGATGACTTACACGGTGCCATTCACGAAACAATCTTTTGTTTCCCTATGCCTTTTTTGGTGTCATCTTTCTTTGGTGTCAAGGTTTTGAATATACATTTGTTTTTAGGGTTTTTTTTGAAGATTTTATTTATTTGACAGAGATACAGTGAGAGAGGAAACACAGGCAGGGGGAGTGGACAAGGGAGAAGCAGGCTTCCCGCTGAGCTGGGAGCCTAAGGCGGGGCTCGACTGGGATCATGATCTGAGCCAGGCAGACGCTTAACGACTGAGCCACCTGGGCCGCCCCCTTTTTTCTTCAGTAAAAGTTTTTTTTTTTTTTTAAGATTTTATTTATTTATCTGACAGACAGAGATGACAAGTAGGCAGAGAGACAGGCAGAGAGAGAGGGGGAAGCAGGCTCCCTGCTGAGCAGAGAGCCCGATGCGGGGCTCGATCCCAGGACCCTGAGATCATGACCTGAGCCGAAGGCAGCGGCTTTAACCCACTGAGCCACCTAGGCGCCCTTAGTAATAGGTTTTTGGAGATATATTTCACATACCACTGAGTTCACTTTTTTAAAGTGTATCATTCATTAGTATATTTGCAAACTGTAACCCCAGAACATTCTGTCAGCCAGCAGAGACGTCCGGTCAGCTCTGCCCCGGCCCCAGGCAGCCACGGGTCTGCTTTCTGTCTCTGTGCCTTGCCCACTCTGGGTAGTTCATGACCTGGATCTGCTCTTCAGGCATCTTGTGTTCTCCTGGGATGTTCGCCTGCTTCTGCCCAGGCACCAGGTTGTTTTCGGTTCTCACTGACCGTTTCTGCCTGTGTAACATGAGCGCAGGAGGTGTAGATCGTCAACGGGCCGTGGGTCCACGGCTCACAAACAGCTCGCCTGTGAGGCCAACGCCGACATGCAGAAAGCAGCAGCTCCGGCCCCCCTCGGCCGAGGTGTCAGGCTCGCCACCTGTCCCGCCGAGCTCCCTGCTGTCCTGAGTCCCAGCAGAGCGAGCTGGGGCCGGGTTTCGCTGCTTCCGTGCAGCTGGTGTCTCGTGCGCATCCGTGTCATGTGCCGCAAAACGCACCGGTACTCAGCGGAGGGTCGTGGCGCCTGGTGTGAACACGCCGCATTTATGTGTCCGTTGAGCACATGTCCCTGCTCCCGCGGGAAGGGCTGGTCAAAGAGCGCTTGCCCTCGGCTCAGGAGATGTGGCGCGCGGTCTTCCGGGCGCCGCTCGGGTGTGTGCTTCCCCGCCCTCCTAAGGCTTTGTCGCCCTGTAGGGGCCCCAGCACGTGTAGCTGTCAGCATGTGGATCTGGGCGATCCAGGCCTCTGTCCCACTCAGGCGCTCTTGGCCTTCTGTGTCAGTGCTGCTGGCAGGAGGCCCCCACCCGCCTGCTGGCTTCTTCCTGTCTCCCTCACCCCGGCTGCTCTGGCCCAGTGGGCCCCACGGTGGCCGCTGCCTGTCCTGACGACTCCTGAGCCCTAGGACTTGTCACCTCCATTGGGGTTGGCTGCATGGTCTTTCGTGTGCTCTTCTCTTGGATCGTCACCACTCCTATGGGCTGACAGTTCTTTAGGTCTCTGTGCGAGTCCGTTTGGGGATGTGTGTGGAAGATATTTTCTGCTCTCACTTTTCACATTCTTAAGAGTGTCTTCTCATGAATACAAGTTTGTAAAATTAATGGAGTCCAATTTATCAAATTTTTTTCTTACTGTAATTAATGCATCTTTTGTCCTGTTTAGGAAATCTGCCTGTAAGATTTAACATTTTACCTTTCATATTTGTCTCTCTAGGACTGGCTCTTTGATCTAAAGTGCGTACAGGACATGATACACTTTTTTCCACATGGCATTCGGCTGAGCTGCCGCATTTTAAGAAATGTGTTCAGCAAATTTTTCAAATAAAAAAACTTCAGTGACAGATAACTGAGAGTAAAAGCAGGCCCCCGTCCTAAAGTTCGACTCGGGATCACGCAGTTCTGCAAACATGCAGGCCCAGTTGCCTTCCCGCGGGTCCTGCGGGTGGTGCCCTGTGTGAGACCCGAGTCTGCAGAGAGCGGAGGGACTCCGGCGTCTTACGTGCTGTCTGCGCCGCACGCGATGTGCGTAAACTGACAATCAGAGCAGCACCGTGTAGAGCTGTGTGACCGTTACCGTGCGCGTGGGTTAGTCGCAGGGACCATGGTACAGTTTTATTTTTAACAATATCTTTTTTGAAGATTTACTTATTTAAGAGAGAGCACAAGTGGGGAGGGCAGAGGGAGAGGGGGGATTTCAGGCTGACTCTGTGCTGAGCACAGAGCCTGACACAGGACTTGATCTCCTGACCCTGATGTCACAACTGGAGCCGAAATTAAGAATTGGACAGAATTAGACTGTGCCACCCAGGCACCCCAGCTGGGTTTAATTTTTTAATTTTTTAAAAAATATTTTATTCATTTATTTGACAGAGAGGGAGCACAAGTAGGCAGAGAGGCAGGCAGAGAGAGGGGGAAGCAGGCTCCCGGCTGAGCAGAGAGCCCAATGCGGGACTCGATCCCAGGACCCCGAGATCATGACCTGAGCCGAAGGCAGAGGCCTAACCCACTGAGCCGCCCAGGCGCCCCAAAACGATAATATGTTAGTAAGATACGTACCATGAATACGTTGTCACGTAATACAACGATACTACAGCAAATACTGGGAATGCGCAGTGTCTCGGGATTAAGAGTTGGTTGTGGGGCGCCCAGCTGGCTCAGCCAGTGGAGTGTGGGTCTCTTGATCTCAGATTTGTGAGTAAGAGCCCCATGTTAGGTGTAGAGATTACTTAAAAATAAAATCTTAAAAAAATTTTTTTTAATTAAAAACAAAAAAAGACTTGGTTGTGGGTCACAAGAGAGCGTGCACGGTGGCTGCGGTCCAGTGACCCGAGTCTCACCTCCCAGGGTCCGTGCCGCTCCGCCTGTGGAGGGAGAGCTCAGCCAGCCCTCCGCCAGTGTGTGTGGACCCACGTGTCCGGCGGGTCAGCACAGTGTCCTGAGTCTTCCCTCCATTTGTAGGGAACATAGCAGGGGCTACCTCAGACCTGAGGATGGCATGTGACCGTGCCAGGGTCCTCCTCCAGGCAGAGGAATGCCCCGGGAGCGCCATGGCCAGCAAGGTAGGCGGGGACCCTCTCTCCTCTATCAGGCTGTGCTCTGCCTTGGCATAGTGCTCCCTGCGGGAACCTTGTCCCTGCCACGTCCCTCTGACCATGCTGCCTGTGCTCTTTCAAGTCCAAGAGGAACGTGACTGTTGCAGACGCTCCCTCCGCGGTCTTCCACTACTCAGAGACCAACTCCGACAAGACTGCCTGCAGCAGGAAGACAGACGCCATCTTCAGAGCCGCCAAGAAGGACCTGCTCACCCTCATGAAGCTGGACGTAAGTAGCCACTCCTGCCCTCTCTCCGGCTGCGGTGAGCAGGGAGACGCACACAGTCTCTGGAGGGGCGGATGCCGGACTCCCACAACCTTTTCTTGTAAGAACCCACTGCTTTTGGGCCTTGTGTCCTGGGTCGAGGCCCCCACAGGCCCTGCCTGAGGCGGGGCTCCCTCTGGGACTGCTCAGGATGGCGTCCTGCTGCTGCTGGCTTTGCACACGCTCTCCCTGGCACCGTCTTCTCAGCGCCCCTTGCCCTCCCCCGCGTGCTTGCAGGGGCAGGAACGGGCCGAGCATCCTGTGTGCTCTGCACACTTCGGACACCCCAGGGTGCCCTGTGAGGGTTAAAAGTGACCATCTCCTGACTGGGCCTTCATCACGTGCCCATTTTCTCTTTATCCTTTTCTCCCGTCATATTTTAAAGAGTTGCAAATACCCTGTATACAGAAGGACGTGGGTGCCCATGGAACCACCATGCCAGGGACCAAACTGTTAGTAGCTCCCCAAGACCAGCTGGGAGCCCTCTGTGGCCCCGGCCCCTCCTCTCCAGGAAGCACTGCCCAGCGCCTGCGTGGGGACTCTCTGTGCGTGACTCATCCATGTGGCCCCTGGGCCTGCTGTTCCTTGCTGGTGGCCCGTCTGTGACTTGCCCACACGGTTGCTGGTCCTGGAGGCTCTGCCTGCACAGGACTCGGTGTCCATCCCTTGTCCACGCTGTGGAGGGACATGAGTGGACATGTCTGTGTCCCGGAGGTTGTGCGTCCCCTCGCCCAGATCAGGGGCTCCCGTGGCCTTGCATGCATGGCAGCATCCAGGTTTTCAGCCTTTTCCGTTTCAGATAATACGGGCACAGTGTTGAGTACAGCTTTTTTTTTTTTTTTAAGATTGTATTTATTTATTTCACAGAGAGAGACACAGTGGGAGGGAGCACAAGCAGTGGGAGAGGGAGAGGGAGAAGCAGGGTTCCTGCAGAGCAGGGAGCCCGATGCAGGGCTCGATCCCAAGACCCCGGGATCACCACCTGAGCTGAAGGCAGATGCTTAATGACTGAGCCACCCAGGCGCCCCAGCTTTTGGTTTGAATGACGTTTTCTTGATTCCTAGTAGGGCCGGGCACCTTCCACGCGTCTCCTTTGTCTGCTTCTGGGGAGGCGGTGGTTTGGGACTTATGCCCATTTTCTGTCTCCCTTTGTGACTGTAAGCATTCCTTTATATTTTCTAAAGAAGAGTCTGTTTTGCAAATGGTCTGCTCTATCATTTGCTTTTTTTGCTTTCTGAATGGTACCTGGACAGAAGTTCTTAATTATAACTCTGTGAACTTACCAGTCTTTTCCTTTATGGTTCATGCTTTTTGTGCCTTGCTTAAGAAATTGTTTGTTACTTCAACTTCATAAAGATGTTTTCTATATTGTTGTTTAAACATTGTCTTGCTTTACCTTTCTGAGATTTAATGAGACAGAGCTAACTTTTGTGCAGGAAGGAGGGATTCTGATTATATAGATAGATAGATATAGATTTTTTTTAAATAGCCTATTTTTTTTTAATTTTATTTATTTATTTGACAGAGAGAGATCACAAGTAGGCATGGGCAGGCAGAGAGAGAGGAGGAAGCAGGCTCTGCTGAGCAAAGAGCCCGATGAGGGGCTTGATCCCAGGACCCTGAGATCATGACCTGAGCCGAAGGCAGAGGCTTAACGACTAAGCCACCCAGGCGCCCCTGTATTTCCTTTTCTTGCCTATTGCATTGTCAAGGACTTCCAGCACAATGTTGGAAAGGAATGGTGAGGTGACATCCTTGCCTTGTACCTGATCTTAGCCAGAAAACTTCCAGTTTCTCATCATTAAGATGAGGTGATGTGATGTGGATTGGACTTTATCAAGTTGAGAAAGTTCCCCTCTATTCCTGGTTTACTGAGAGTTTTTGTGACGATTGGGGGTTGGGTTTTGTCACGTGCTTGTCTGCATCTATTGATATGACCATGCGATTTATCTGTTTTGGTCTGTTGATGGGATGAATTACATTAATTGATTTTCAAATGTTGGATCAGCCTTGCATACCTGGGACAGACCCCGCTTGGTTGTTGTGTATTAATTTTTTTCTATGTTGTTGGATTTGATTGGCTAACGCTGTTTTGGGAATTTTCGCGCCTGTGTTCCTGGGAGGTACTGGTCTATTGTTTTCTAGTAATGTTTTCCCCTGGTTTTTGTTTTAGGGAAATTCCGGCCTCATCAAATGAGCTAAGAAGAACTCCATTTTCTGAAAGCGATTGTAGAGAATTTTTTTTTTTAAGATTTTATTTATTTATTAGAAAGGGAGAAAGAGGGAGCATGAGCAGGGGGCGGAGGGAGAAGCAGGCTCCCTGCAGAGCAGGGATCCCAACGTGGGGCTCGATTCCAGGGTCGTTGACCTGAGTGGAAGGCAGAGGTGTCACTGACCAAGCCCCCCATGTTCCCCTATAAAGAATTGTTAGAATTTCTTCCTTATATCTTTGGTAGAATCTACCAGGGAACCAGCCCATCTGGGCGTGGTGCTTTCTGTTTTGGAAGGTTATTGATTGCTGATTGAATTTCTTAATAAATAGAGGCTTATCCAGGTGGTGTCTTGTGTGAATTTCGGTGGATTGTGTCTTTCAAGGAATGGGCTCATTTCATCTCAGTCACCACGTTGTTGAACATAGGGTTGCTCATAGTATACTTTTATTATCCTTTTACTTAGTTTGGCTTCTGTAGTGATGACCCGTCTTTCGTTTCTGGGATGAATAATTTACTTTTTTTCCCGTTTTTCTTAGTCTGGCTACGGGCTTGTCGGTTTTACTGATGAAGGCTCTGCGCTCAGCAGGGAGTCTGCTTCTCTCCTTCTGCCGACAACCCCCCCCCCCAAAATAAATAAATAAAAGTCTTTTTAAAAAGTGTTTCGGGGATCAAGCCGCGCATCGGGCTCCCTACTCGGCGGGAAGCCTGCTTCTCCCTCTCCCAATCCCACTGCTTCTGGTCCCTCTCTCACTGTGTGTGTGTGTGTGTGTGTGTGTGTGTGTGTGTCTGTCAAATAAATAAATAAATATCTTTAAAAAAAAAAAAAAAGGAAAGGTTTGGGGCGCCTGGAGGCTCAGTGGGTTAAAGCCTCTGCTTTGGCTCAGGTCATGATCCCAGGGTCCCTGGATCAAGCCCCACATCGGGGTCTCTGCTCAGCGGGGAGCCTGCTTACCCCCCCCACGCCCTGCGCCTGCCTCTCTGCCTACTTGTGATCTCTCTGTCAAATCAATAAATTAAATATTTAAAAAAAAAATAAGTGTGTTGTTCGGACGCCTGGGGGGCTCAGTGGGTTGAGCTTGGGATTGTGAATTCAAGCACCACATTGGGTTTAGAGATTACTTTAAAAAAATCTTTAAGAAAAGAAGGGTGTTGTTTAATTTCCAAGTATTTTCAGATCTTCCAGTTATCTTTCTGTTAAAACTTCTAGGGTCATTGCGCTGTGCTCTGAGAACAGACGTCGCATGATTAGCATTTTCTTGAATTTATGGAGATGGCTTTTATGGCGGGAGGTAGAGGGCATCAGTGAGTGTTCACGTGAGAAGGCTGTGTTCTGCCTCTTTGTGTGAAGTAATTATAGATACGAATTCTGCCCGGGTGTTGGATGGTTCTGTTGCGGCCAGCTGTGTCCTCACTGGCTTTCTGCTGCCGGGTCTGTGCGTTTCTGACAGAGTGGACAAGGTCTCCAGCTGTTGTCGCGAATCTGTCTGTTTGTCCTGTCGTTGTCGGTCTGTCTCCCGCAGGCTCATGCTCTGTTGTCAGGTGCACACACATTACATGTGGGTTGTCGTGTTTCTGAGAACTGACCCTTTCTCACTTCCTGATGCCCGCCCTCCTTTCTAACCTTCCTTCTCTGCAATGGCTTTGTCCGAGGCGCATAGAACTGCTTCTGCTTTCTCTGATCAGCACTAACCTTTCTGCATTCATCTACTTCGATCTGCGTGTGTCTTTACATTTAAGGTGGGTTTCTTGGAGATGACTTCTAGTTCTGGCTAGTCTGACAACCTTTGTCTTTTAATTGGTGTGTTCAGACCATTGATTTTTTTTTTTTAAGATTTTATTTATTTATTTATTTGTCAGATAGAGAGAGATCACAAGTAGGCAGAGAGGCAGGCAGAGGCGGAGAGAGAAGCAGGCTCCAACATGTGGCTCCTGCTTGGCCTCTGAGGGTACAGCAACCTCCGGGGCCTGCTGTCTAGGCTTCTGGGAAGCACAGGATGGGACGGCCGGCCACCGCACACCCGCACCGCCTCTGCTCATGCTTCCCAGGGGCTCTGGGCTTGAAGAGGGGCAGTGGGGGAAGGAGGCATCTTTCTCACTTGGGCCGTCCGTGCACCCTGACTCCACACCCCAGCATTTCATCACTGCCGGCTGGCCTTGCGGTAACCTTCTGCACCTTTGAACAGATTTATGGTCTTGAATTGTTGCTTTTAACAGCACTGGTTATATTAAGTTTATCACTGATAAAGAAAGAGAAGGCACTGCAGCCAACAGAACTTGGGTCCCATGGCGGTGAGGCATGGGGAGCGGGACACGCTGTGACCCCTCCATCCGTCTGTCTGCAATGAGGCCCGTGTGTCCGGGCCACACTCCTCCTTCACCCCGACCTCCCCTTCCCCTGGTTAGCAAAGGCCTTGTGGACCCCAGCAGCTTAGGCTTTGCTGATATCATTTACCCCAAGGGCAGGCCAGTGGAGCAGAGAGTGCTGGGTGGGTTCAGGATGGTTCCTTTCCCTCCCCCTGCTGGAGGCCCAAAGGCATTTTCTCCGCTTCCTGCGGGAGCCCGCCAGAGCTCCTGGAGGTACAGCCCATGAGGCCCTGGGGCCCCATGATGGGGTGTCCTACGCCAAGGCCGCCCGTTTGCCATGGGCGGCTGTGCAGGGTGCGGCCTGGCAGTGGTCCTCGGCACGGTCCATCCATGCTCCTTGTGGGGGCCAGGGTGTGTTGACCCCTGCGTTGTTTGTAGGACCCCTCGCTCTTGGATGACCGGGTGTCGCTGCTTCACGTTCCGGGGGGCACGGTGGTGTCGAGGCAAGGAGACCAGGTGAGCCAAGGGCCGCCGTCGGAGGGAGCAGTCCCCAGGGCTGCCTGGCGTTGGTGCCAGTCACCCTGCCCGTCCTCGTGGGGGAGGGTGCGTGTCCGCGCTCACAGACACATGTGTCCGCACGTTTGTACGAGAGTCATCACCGATCTCACAGTCTGGTGCAGAAGAGATGCTTTTGTTTTCTCAATTCTCAAATCCAAATACAGGTGAAAAGCAATTTTTTTTTTTAGTGAAATGAACCTGATTTCTGGTTCTGAAAGCCACATTCTGCTGGGCAAGCAAAAATAATCTCCACAGCTCCTGCCCTCCTGGGCGCTCGTCTCCCCCGCTGGTGGCATGGTCGGGGCATCTCTCTCTGTAGGAGTTGTGCTTTCTCTGGCCCCTGCACTAGCCTGGTGGACAGTGTTTTGTCTGGTTTGTTTTTAGAGCAGCTTTGATGAGACGGGTCTTTCTTGTTGGGTGAGCAGGCCAAGCCTGGGCCCTCCACCCCTGTCCCAAGGGGTCTAGGTGATGGCAGCCAGCTGTGCAGACCCAGGGGCATGACGTGGGCACAGACGTGCCCAGGCAGCAGGCGCCTATAAGCCCTGGATGGGGAAGGCTTGGAGGTCCAGCCTGGGGGCAGGGTGGTGTGAGGCCCCCAAGGGGATGCTCTGCAGGTGTCCGAAGGCATCAGAGTCACCTCTTCTCTCTCTCCCCCTTCTTCCCTCTGGTCTGCGCCATGACCAGGAAAGGCTCTTCCTCTCCCCAGAGGAAGCACACTGCTGGCTGACTCTCTTGTGCCCAGTCAGTCAGGGCCAAGGGTCCTGCTCACAGGCCTCAGTCCCCGCTACTGCCTTCTGTGGCAGCCAGTGCCCGGGGACCCCTCAGAGGCTGTTTGGGGGGCACGGGGTGTGGAGCCAGCCCATCTGCCCCTGGCCTCCGAGACCCTGAGGGCCAAGCCTTGCTCTCAGGCCTCCCAGAGCCCTGCACTGGCCCTTTCCTGCTCAGACCAGAGAGGAGTGGTCTGACCAGAGTAGGGGTGAGCAGGTCTGGAGATAGGTAATGGACACAGTGAGGTTGGCCTTGGAGTAGTCTCACGGACACGCCTGGCAGACGTGTGATGTGTGTGGGGTTGGGGAGACTCAGCAGGGCCGCGTGGGGAGAGAAGGGAGCACATCTGGAGGCCTCTGGACGGCTGTCTCCCGGGCAGCAGGGCCGCGTGGCTGCGCAGGCCGGCTGATGTGCAGGAGGGGTGTGCGTCTGTGGCCAGGCTCTCTGCCACCAGAGAACTGACCCCCTGTGATTGATCATCAAACGGTGAAACCATGGACCCTACTGCCACTTCTTCTGGGAGAGCCCAGCCCAGGAACAGTGACGTGAGACAGCATAGGCACAGGAGAAGCGCAGCCCACAGCCAGCCCCCGTGGCCTCCAGCCCACACCCCTTGTTTGGTCAGGACGTGAACATCCTATTTGTGGTGTCGGGGCTGCTGCACGTGTACCAGCGGAAGATTGACAGCGAAGAGGACACCGGCCTGTTCTTCGTGCGCCCCGGGGAGATGGTGGGCCAGCTGGCCGTGCTCACAGGAGAGCCCCTCATCTTCACCATCAAGGCCAACAGGGACTGCAGCTTCCTCTCCATCTCCAAGGCCCACTTCTATGAGTGAGTCCAGGCCAGCCTGGGTGGCTCCTGGGCGGTGGTGGCCGTGGCAGGGCCCACGTCGGGCACCTCTCGCGGTCCTGCCTCTGGCCCTTCTCACGCTGGAGACAGGAGTCCCGGGGACAAGGGCAAGGCCTGTGGGGTGAGGTGGCAGGAAGGGGTTGTGGCACTACGGGGTTAGCCCCAGAGGACTGCAGCTCCTCTTCAGGAAGACACAGTCCACATCATCCCTAAGCCTGGGTGCAGGCAGGGCCTCGTCAGCCCTGTCCAGCCTGCCCAGGCCCAGCGGTGTCCTCAGCCTGACTCCGTGAGTGCGTTGGCGTGCACGTGCTGGCAGCACGAGTCTCCTGCCATCAGCAGTTCCTGCCCTGTAGACATTGACAGGTGTCCTGGGCGATCTCGTCCAGTCCTGGGCCTCCCCGCAGATTTCGCTCCTGAGTGCAGGCTTGTGTGTCGGCCTGCTGTCCTGACATCCGTGGGGGCAACTCAGGGATTCCTCAGTCTGTTGTCCGAAGCTGAACCGTAGATCTCCCCCCACTTTGCTCCTGCTTCCACCTTTCGTCTACTCTGGGACTGGTGCCTCTTACCTGCCCATTGCCCGGTCCGAGTCCTGGAGTAGCCCCAGTCCCACTGCAACCCCTGAGCTGACCACAGCCCTGCTACTGCTCTCCAGAAGCCTCTACACTCTGGAGCTGCCCTGCTTCCGCCCTCGCCCCCAGCAGCTTGTTTATGGTTGGCAACAGGGAACTGGAGCCGTCGTGTTCCTGCTGGCCAGAGCCTGCCAGGGACTCCATTGTGCCCAGGAGCCTCTCAGCACCTTTCCCGACTCAAGGCCCCGTGTGGTGGCTGCCCTCCAACCTCTTGGCCTCACCCTGTCTGGTGCCCCTCTCACCTCCTTTCCCCGCCCCCTCTGGGGTTCACGGCACATTGTGGTGGGGCAGGGACTTCACATCCCACTACTGGGTCGGGCCCCCACGTGAGGCCTGTGCTCAGAGCACATTTGGGGGGCAGATGGCAGTGGGCAGGGGCTCTGCGGCCTGTCCCAGGGCAGCTGTCCATGGGCCACGACGGAGCAGGCTGCTGAGTGGGCACTGCGCTCTGTCCTAGCCCTGGGCCTGTGTCTCTGTCACTTGCGATGCAGCATTATGTTGCAAGTTTGATGAATGGGGTGTGGGTCCTGCCACCTCTCAAGTGCTGTGGCCTGGAGGGCAGGGGTGGCACTGGCAGGAGTGGCTGCCAGCCGTGGTGGGCGGGCGTGACTCTGGGCTCACCGGCAGAATCATGCGGAAGCAGCCCACCGTGGTCCTGGGTGTCGCGCACACTGTGGTGAAGCGGGTGTCGTCCTTCGTGCGGCAGATCGACTTTGCACTGGACTGGATGGAGGTGGAGGCCGGGCGCGCGGTGTACAGGTGGGGCCCGTGGGGAGGGAGGCTTGCCCTTTACACGTGCCCCCGGGGGAGGCGGTGCCGCTGACGGACTCAGCTCTGCCCCCTGCGCTCACCACCCCGTGCGTGTGCACACTCGGACACACACGCTTTCTCACGGGCATCTCCCTGCATCATTCCCTGCAAGTCCACGCTGCCCTTCGAGGTGGCCCAGCGGAGGTGACGCTAAATGGCACGGCTGCAGGTGCCCGTGCGCTCGGTGTCCCTGCATCTCATCCGGATGCCCGCAGCCAGGGGCACAGACAGGGTTACAGCTGTTGACTTTCGTGATAACTGAAAATTCAAACCAAGGAGATTTTAAGTATTTCGTTGTTTATTTAAAAACCAGTAAGCCATTTATGTATTAGCATGTGTGTTTTTATTTGTTTATTTTAAAGCCCTTTATTTTTTTTCAAAGATCTTATTTGAGAGCGAGCCTGCTCATCAGCGGGGTGGGGGGGCAGGGGAGAAGCAGGCTCCCCGCTGAGCAGGGAGCCCGACATGGGACTCGGTCCCAGGACCCCGAGATCATGACCTGAGCCAAGGCAGACATTTAACTGAGCCACCCAGGGGCCCCCAGCATACATATTTTTTAATGTAAAACAGCTGTGTTTTCCAAAACAAGAAGAACACAGTGAGAAGCTTGCATTCTCCCCCCCACCAGTGGTGGAGGGCTTCCTGGCCTTGCCCCTCCCGTCCAACAGCCTCTGTCCCCGCAGGCAGGGGGACAAGTCAGACTGCACCTACATCGTCCTCAGTGGCCGGCTGCGCTCCGTGATCCGCAAGGATGATGGCAAAAAGCGCCTGGCGGGCGAGTATGGCCGTGGAGACCTCATTGGTGTGGTACGGCTGGGCTCCCTCCTCACCATGCCCTGCCCGGTGGTGACTGCTGGCCCACTGCCTGGGTGGGGGGAGCCCTGGAAGTAACCTGTGGAGGACTCTTCCCCCCCGCCTGGGGCACACCTTTCTTGGGGGCCTGACATGCATCTCCCACCCAGGCTGTAGCACCAGGGGTGGGACGGCCCCTTCGCCCCATCCAGGAAAACGTGCCTCGAGGTGGTTGCTCTGAGACTTGCGTGTAGGATGAGGCCCTGGCCAGTTTCTTTGGGGTGCCTGACCCGGGTCCCGGCACTGCCAGCCCTCACTGGTGCTTCTCCAGCCGCACTAGCCCCTTTTCCTCCCGTCCCCCCATACACCGCATTCCAAAAGGGTTGCTGTGTGCTCTGCCTTCTGGTTGGGTTCAGAGTGCGGCCAGCTGGGCCTGCAGGGCTGGCGCGCGTGGCAGTATGGCCGTGCCTCCCCAGCCTCTCTTCTCCAGGTGGAGACGCTCACCCACCAGGCCCGGGCAACCACAGTGCATGCTGTTCGGGACTCGGAGCTGGCCAAGCTTCCAGCGGGAGCCCTGACCTCCATCAAGCGCAGGTACCCACAGGTGAGTGCTCCTGTTGCCGGCCGCCTTCGGGGACCAGGGTGTCCAGACCGTGAACTGGGATTTTCAGGCACAGGACTGCGTCCTTGTCAGCACCGGGGGAGGTGCGGATTGGAGTGACCTGGCGCAGGCACATTTTAAAGGAAGTGTCATGTGGACCAGCACGTGGGGGTAAGGGCCTTGGGACAGGTGACTTGGGCACTGCCAGGAGGCAGGAGGGGGACGCGGGGATCCAGCAAGTGAGGCCTGCCTGGCTCATCCCACAAGTCGAGCGATGTCCCGCGTGGTGTTTAGAACCAGCAAGGAGTCCTAGCAAGCACTGGAGCGAGCCTGGGGAATGTGCGGTTTCCACAGCACAGGCCTTTCTCTGCGCTGCCTCACGGAAGGTGAACTCAGGACTCGGACACGGGAGATGGAGCTTGGGCCAGCCGCAGAATGAGGGGAGTCTGTGCCGTTCCCGGGGCAGTTAGTGTGGCTGGCTGTCCGGTGTCGGCCTCCCTGCTCTGGAGTAGTAGGTATGCGTCTGGGGACAGGGGAGAGCCTTTCAGCTCAGGGGTTGGAGAAGATGGGCAGCAGCGGGACAGCCTGTCCTTTCCCCCTCAGCACTGCGTGTGCCTGTCCAGTGCACCTCTCTGCTCTAGAACAGGAGGAAAACCCCCCAGTTCATTTTATGAAGTTAATTTTAATTTGAAACTTGATAAAAATACGGAAAAGCATTTGTGGCATAGCTACAAATACTCTACGTTTGAGTAAATCAACAATAAAAAATGCTATGTAATTAGGGTGCATTTAAGGAATGTTAGCCCAGAGTCAGAAAATTATTAAAACGTAATCAATTATGGAAAAAAGTAAAAGGAAGACCCTTAGGATTATATCAGGGCTTTTGGCAGAATTCAGCCACAGGTAGTAAACACTCAGAGTAGAAGTGAAGAAAGCTTCGGACTAGAACAGACGATTTATTCTGGAACTCCTGAGTCCAGGACGGACAGGCCCCTCCTCCCCTAGCAGAAAATGTTGAAAAATGAAACGGCTGGTGTCCACTTGGAAAAGGGGTACTCGTGACATTTGCAGAGAACATGGGTCTTGTTAGCGGAAACCTCCAAGGGAACGGATCAGGAGAGTTTATGGAATGGCAATAGAGCTGAGACCCCCGTGTGCCCGCGGGGCCTCCCTGCCGGAGTGGCAGGGCTCCTAAGGGCACAGCCAGTCGGGAAGCCACACTTCGCAAGCAGGGCTTGGCCGGAGGCCCTGCTGCATCCCCCGTGGGCAGGCCCAGCTCCCTCACAGCATGGGTCTATCCAGTGGGAAACCAGGGACGAGATGTCATTTTGTGAGCCATTTAGAGTGCCTTCCCTGGGGACATATCCCCGTGGGCCCCTTGAACACCAGGAGTCTCACCCGTGGGTTGCCCAGGCTCCTGGGCACACAGAGCTGGCCCAGGGAGAGGGACCCCTTTGGTGGACTGCCGTAGTTCCGGTGCCAGCTGGACGGTTTGTAATCCTTTCTTGTCATCTTCCATCTGGATGTTTGTGCCCCAGATATGGTCCCTGGGGGCCCCTTGGAGTCCTTCTGATGTGTCCTGTGCATTTCTGGCCTGGAGCCCCTGGTCCCTTCGGTGGAGCTAGGCCCATCTGGGGGCCCAGCACGGGGGCCCTCCCTTCCCATGCCAGCCCCTCCCTGTCCAGCGGTGAGAACATCTGCTCCCCTCCTGAGCTGCTCAGCAGTGTGTGCAGCCCCTCCGTCAGGACCACCCCTCCCCTGTTCCACAGTGTTACCCCACCAGGCTGCCACCATCTCCTCACACTCTGTCACTTCCAGCTCCCCAGGACTCTTGCACCTGCCATACGTGGGGTGGGGACGCCACTCTTGGCCTCAGAGTACCCAGCCTGGCCCCGGAGTCACTGTCCCGAGTGTCACCTGGGGAGGACCACTCCCTCCCTCCCTCCCTCAGGGAGCAGCACTCCTGCCAGGCTGTGGCATGTGGGGTGACCTGGGTTCAAATGGAAGGGCTTGGGTCTAAACCCCGGGAGACCCCCGAGAACAGCAGGACGGTTGTGGAGGTGGCTGGGGCCAGTCTGCGGGCCACCAGGAGCTGCGGGGTCGCTGGGAGCAAGGCTAAGCCCGGCCACTGCCTCTCCTGCAGGGCCGTTTCCTGGTGAACCCACAGAGGGATGCTTTGCTCATGCCCCCAGCCCCGGGGTGCGTAGACTTCTCCATGGGCGGCTCCCAGGGGCCCAGGGCCTGTCCTGATGCTTGTCCGTCACACTCAGGCTGCTGCGGGGCCCACGGCCTCCCCGAGCAGCCAGGCCCCGTGGGCGCTCTCACACAGGCACAGACACTGGCCTTGCCCCAACCCCAGGCTTGCTCTGTGCCCTAGAGCACAGGGGGCCCTGCCAGGGTGCTGTTGCCAGCCAGTGTCCCCCGCCCCTGACCACTGCCTGCTCTATCTGTTCTGGGGTTTCATGTCAGCGGGGTATCACAGAGCACAGTGTTCACTGGTGGCTTCTGTTGCTTGCCGTGGTCTCTGAGGCCTGCGTCTCGTGGGTGTGGTCTCTCTCTTTTTTTTTTTTAAGATTTTATGTATGTATTTGACAGAGATCACAAGTAGGCAGAGAGGCAGGCAGAGAGAGAGGGGGAAGCAGGCTCCCCGCTGAGCAGAGAGCCCGATGCGGGGCTCGATCCCAGGACCCTGAGATCATGACCCGAGCCGAAGGCAGAGGCTTTAACCCACTGAGCCAGCCAGGCGCCCCGTGGGTTTGCTCTCTTTACTGCAGAGTGAAACACTTGCTCACCTGTCGTCCTGACGGGCATGCGCGCTGTTCCCAGCGTGCGGCTGCTACGGAAAGGCTGCTCTGCGTGGCTCTGTGGCCCGCTTTCCGTCTCTCTTCAGGGCTGCCTGAGGGTGGCGTGGCAGGGGCAGAGGGGAGACAGATGCTGAACTTTTTCAGAAACTGCCGACCATCCCCCGTGGGCTGGTGCCGAGTGACGGTCCCAGCCCTGCGAGGCCCCAGTCACTGGGCAGCTGTCGTGCGCTCAGACCCCCTTAACATTAGCCGCTCTCGTGGCAGGACGTGCTCATGGGATGGGAGTTTGCGTTCTCCTGAAGACTGGAAGTGTTGAGCGCCTTCTTGTGAGCTCACGGGCTTATTTTGAACCTTTTCACTTGATGTAGAATTTTTTAAAATATATTTAATTGTTAAATTATGTTTAATTAGGATTATTATAAATCTGTAATTTTGAGAACTGTATCACGAGGATGTTTTTGAAGGCTCTGATCCTAGAGATACAGATTCACATATTGACGGATTGAGTGCTGCGTTTCGGATCGGCCTGAAGCTTTCAGGTGTGAGCCAACGAAGCTTTCCGGGGGGTGTGTGAAGCCGGTGACTGCAGCCCAGTGACGGGGCGTGTGGCCACGGGCTCTTCCCTCACCTGTTGTGCACAAAAATTTTCCATAATAATGTGAGGTTTTTTTATTAGCTCCAATAAACAGTTTGATGCTAAATTAGTTATTAAAAAAAAAAACAGACTCCTTTTGAGCTTCTGTTTTGGACCGCTCCTCAAACTGGTTTTGGTCTCACGTCCTAAAACGAGGACAGTGTCACTTGCCTCCTGCGTGCGTGTTTTCACTGCAGCGTCCTGGGGGAAGAGAGGCTCTCCAGGTCAGTTTGCAGGTGCTGCTGGGTACTGGAGCCCAAGGCCTCAGCCTGCTCCCTGCACAGTCAGCCCCAGAGCTCCAGGCCGTGGGCAGTCCGGAAGCCAGCCTGACGCTGGGGTCTGGGGGCCGAGTGCAGGAGAAGCAGCCTCCGAGTCACCCCATCTGTGCCACCAGTGTGCTCTCTGACACAGTTTAGGCTGCACTGAAGCTGACAGCAGCTTCTCCTCAAAGCAGTGATGCTGAGGGAGGCCGCCTGGACGGTAGATCCTCTGTCACCCGTAAACCCGACCAATCAGAAACTCGAACTCACTTTGTTTTTATGCAAAAGTATTGAAGTAAATTACGGGTATCTTGGTGTTCCAACCTTAAATACTTTGTGACTCTAAAAATTCAGTATTCATGTGGCCATGTACTGCTTCCTAGATACGATGTAACACCAGCCCACGTCCTGCCCAGGCCAGGCCCCCTCAGGAGCGCCTGGAAGCCCTTCCTGGCTCGCCTGTGGGGTGGTCGTGGCCGCCCCTGGTGCTTAAAAGGAGTAAAAGGAGACCCTGGCCTGGGCGCCAGGTCACAGGACGTGTGCCCCTCACACCTGCTGGACCCCAGTGGGCTCTCTGTGGTGCAGACCCTCATCCCACAGAGTAGGGCCCCCTGCCCAGTGACCAGCCTGCCAACCAACTGCTCCACTGCCCTCAGCCCCGAGGGCTTTGCAGACGTGGTGGTTTTGAAAACGGGGATCCAAGGTGCTTCTCTTCTTGGTTGCAGAGTGTGGCCTCCTTTCCTTCTCTGCCCCCCAGGTTGTGACTCGGCTGATTCACCTCTTGGGTGAGAAGATTCTGGGCAGCCTCCAGCAGGGACCTGCGACAGGTGTGTCCTTGGGAGCCCCACCCTCCTGGCCCCGAGGCTGCATCTGCCCCGTGGCTGCCACCGGCGGTCGGGGCGGTGTGGGAGGGAGCCCTGGTCCCTGTTGGACGTGGACTGGAACCGAGCATTGGGGGTGCTTGTGGGCGGCCGTGTCTGCTCCGCACCGAACCAGTGACACGTTCTCCAGGCTTGGACTTTCCCTGTCAGCTTATATGTTCTCTTCTGGGTCTAATTCAGAGAGGGTGCTCTGCGAGGTGCTCGCTGGCACCTTGCCCTGGTCTGCAGTGGCAGGAACCACCCGCACCTGCCTTGGCCTGTGGTCCCCTCTGCTGGAGCCCCTCATCAGAGCACCACACCCGCCTGGCTGCCCCAAGCCCCGCACCCCTCTGTTTCCCTTTTCCACTTCATTTCAGCCCCCGACTCGTCCTACCGCTGCCTAGTCAGCTCCTGTGTAGTCTGTGCCCCGTGCCGGCTCGGGCACTGTGGGAGGGCAGCCTTGTGTCTCCTGGCAGCAACCTGGACACAGGACTGTGCTTTGTGGAAGGACTGGGGTGGCCAGGGTGCCCAGGGGGACCACAAAGTGTGGTGGTGGCCCCTGAGTCCACTACAGCTCATCTCGATCGACTATGTCTGCAAAGACCCATTTCCAAACGAGGTCACACTCGGAGGTCCGCGGTGTGCATGGAGGCACGGCTCAACGTGTGCTGTGTCTTCACGTCACCTCTGACCACCTGCATGGTCTGCTCGAAGTGGGTTTCTTGTGGAAAGGACATAGTCAGGTGGTATTTTTATCATCCCGCGTGACAACTTGGTATGTGTTTTTTTAAGATTTTATATATTTATTTGAGAGACAGCCAGCACAAGCTGGGGGAGGAAAAGGGAGAGTGAGAAGCAGGCTTCCCGCGGAGCAGGGAGCCCGACACGGGGCTCGATCCCAGGACCCTGGGATCCTGACCTGAGCTGAAGGCAGATGCTTCACCGACGGAGCCCCCAGGCCTCCCCGCCTGACTGCTTGTTCAGTCGGTGTGCGCACGTCTGTGTTGAGCACGATTACTCCTGAGCTGGGATCGGTGCCTGTCCCTGCAGCGTTTCCTGTCCTCCCCTCTTGTCGTCTTTCTCTGGTTCTCCTTCCATCTTCTCTCGAGTTCCCTCAGCCCTTCCGAGTGTTGTGTTCGTGGTCTGTCACGGTTCCAGCGTTGGTCACGTGGCGCTCTCCGTAGCTGCTGTGGGGTCGCGGCTCCCCTCCCTCACCGTGACTCCCAGGGTTGTGCTCAGTGAGCCCCTCCCACAGCCCGGGAACTGCTGTGGAAGCACGAGAGGAGACTCGGCTAGAAAGCACCGCCACCCTTCATTCCGGCGGCCCTTCCCCGCGGTCCGAGGACGTGCCTTTCACAGCGGCCCGCCCAGGCCAAGTCTGCTGGCCACGGACTCTCCGAGCTTCCTTCTCTCAGCCCTTCTGCGTGTCACCTCCATCCCCAAGACGCATTTGCCAATGCGTGGCCGGCCCCGGGGAGCGGCGGCCTGTGGCCTCCACGGCTTCTGATGAGAAGCCCCCATCTGGCTGTTCCCACATCCGTGTGCCACCCTTTCTCGGGCTGCATTGGACACTCTTTGTCCTTAGTGTGGAGAGACGACACGCTCATCTCCTGGAATCCGTAGATGCATGTCTTTCAGCAGACGCGGGACGTTTCCAGCGTTTATTTCTTAAGATGCTCTTTCAGTTCTGTCCCTTTGTCCTTCCAGAAGTCCAGGGACACAAATGCTAGACCTTCTCTTACTGTTTCTGAGGTCTTGGGGCACCGCCAGCTTTTCCCTTCCCCCAATGTTGAGATCGCACTCCTCGCGATCTTGTCTTCTGTCTCCACCGTGACTATGCCCCTGTGCTACTGGTCATGGCTGCTGTGTCGCCGCTGCCTTTTTGTCCTTGTCAGTAATTCCAGATTCTGTGACCTGTTGTCACATTTGTCCGTTGTTGTAGGCGAGGTTTTCCTGGCTTTTGTTATAGCTGCTAATTCTGGATTATATCCTGTATTTCAGGCATGATGTCATGATGTCATGGGGCTCTGGTCCTGCCTCTTCTGTTCTAGCCGACTGTCGGTGTGCTCATGCTCCCAGAGCATGTCCTGGCCCTGGCTGTTCGTTAGTTAGGTAGTTAGTTAGACTGTCTCTTAGGATATTAGTTCGGTTATCAAGGCCTTCGCAGTGTCACGGTCTGCCCTGCCATGTGCTCCTCAGAGCCGCTGTGCGGTCCTGGCTAGTTTCACACGTGGGCCAGGTGGAGGTGAGTGAGCCCAGGACTGCTTGCTGGGGTGAGAGAACTGTTTCTGCGTCTTCTCCCTGGGATTTCCCTGTGCTGCAGGGCCTGGAGAGTTGGGGGGCTCCAGCCCACGGTGTCTGCAGCCCGGCCGCCCTGGGAAAGAGCTCTGGAGGCGGCCCCTGGCCCAGGGTTGGGGGCGGAGGAGCCTGCCTGGCTATAGCAGGAGAGGGGCAGGGGCGCCGCGGCCTTGGTGGCCTTAGTGGCCTTGGCGGCCATGGTGGAGTGCTTCCCAGGAGTGGAGGCCCCAGCCCAGCCGCTCTCCTCTCTGCGCCCTCCGAGCCGCCTCGGGACTGCTGGCGGCAGTCAGGGGGTGTGTGCCTGCCCCGTCTCCCTCTTGGCCAGAACCAGAGCTCCCAGTGCTCCAGCGAAGGCTTAGAGAGAGCCATGTGGAGCTGGCAGGAGAGTCCCCTTTGGTTCTGCCTCAGATGGAGGGTCCTGACATCAGAGGCCGCTAGAAAAGACAGAGAGGAGGGGAGCCAGGAAGAGAGCCCTCGGCATGTCCAGGCTGCAGGAGACCAGGGTCTGTTTGGGGTGTGGCCAGCAGGAGGGTGAGGCTGACCGCCCCCAGCCACCTCTGTGAAAACAGGTGCTACTGGCCCAGAAATGACCATTGTTGGAAATAAACTTCCAGGGATCCTCTGATGGGTGACCTTGTGGGTCAATGGGTCTGTGGTTCCTTCCGGCGCCGTGGGGGCCCCAGGGCTGCACGGAGCTTCCTGGGCCTCGCATCTAGAGGACCGAGACTCTGTGGTCCCAGGGACAGGGGCTCTTACTGCACTGGCTTGTCGCTCCGAGCTTCGGGCTGCCGTCCCTCATAGGTCGCACTTGCTGGTTCTAGAGCCCATGGTGGAAACGCCGTAGGTGGCCTCACCTGGCAGAGCATTTGAACTCTCCGAGGTTTCTCTGGGTCACAGGGTCTTTTCCTCACGCCGTGCCTTTCTCATCAGTGAGGCCGAGTCCCGGAGTGTGTGAAAGGCAGGGCGCTCACAGTGTGGAAGGAAAGGCAGGCTGGTGGTGGGCAGGCACGGGACACTTTGATTAGGGAAGCCAGGAGCGAACCCCGGGGCCTTTTCCTCTCTCCTAGGCCCTTGTACCCTGGGGCATCAAGAAACAGAGACACTGGTTAGTGCCAGCCCAGCCCCTTAGGCTGACACGCGACCCTGTGCTCCGCAGGTCACCAGTTTGGGCTACACGCCGCCAGCAGCAAGTGGGACTCGGGGAACCCTGCCAGCAACCTCTCCACGGTGGCTGTCATGCCTGTGTCAGAGGACGTGCCCCTCACTGCCTTCGCCCTGGAGCTCAAGCATGCCCTCAGTGCCATCGGTAAGTCCTGCCCAAGGCCAGCTGGGTCCTCTGGAGCCTTCCTCCCCTCGCCTTGTGGTCCTTCTGGTTCCTTCTGCAGGTGCGCCAGCATCCTTCACAGCTAGCCCTTGTGGGTGCTGGGGACAGGGCTGCCACGGGAGCAGGAGAACATCCGCCCGGCATCTCCTGACAGTCCTGATGCTGGGCATGGTCTTGTGGGCCGAGGGCTGTCCCTCCTGCACCTGTGGCTCAGGGAGCCTCCTACCCGGAGGGGACAGTGCGGTGGCTGCAGGAGCTGGCTGACCATGTGGAAAATACCCTTAGTTGGGCTCAGGGAGCTTGGGTAGTATTTCCGAATTCCTGGCAGCTGGTAAACTTTGGAATTCAAGAACAAGGAATTGAAATTTTGAGATCTCTTAGAAATACCCCAAATCATGAAGTGTTCTGTATTCCTTTTTTTTTTTTAAGTTTTATTTATTTGAGAGAGAGTGAGCGAGCGAGGGGGCAGAGGGAGAGAGAGAGAATCTCAGACTCCCTGCTGAGCAGGGAGCCCAACAGGAAGCTCCATCCTCCCACCCTGAGAATATGACCTGTGCCAAAGTTAAGAGTCGGACGCTCAACTGATGGGGCCAGCACGAGCCCCCAAGGCGTTCTACGTTCTCAATTCTTTATGAATTCTTCTAGAACTGTGAGCAACGGTAACGGAGTACGTCAGTCTTCTGTGAGGCAGGTACACTGGAGATTTCAGCACTTGTCTTTTGAAAACGCGGCGCGATAGTAAACCCAGTGAGTGTTCTGTTCCTGTCGTGAAACGGCGTGAGAAAGGTGTATATTTTCACAGTTTCTACCTGATGTACACATTCGATAATAGAAAGCATTAAATAAATACCAAATAAAAATGACTTATAAAATTGGAAGATACTGCTCTAGGTCCTTAAAACGTATTCTGAAAACGAAATTCTGCAACACAGAAGGCATGGTTGTCCCGTCCCTCTTGATCTTTGCCTCATAACAGCCGCACCCAAAGCCGGGCTCGTGCTTCTCTCCTGTGGGTGTCCCTCATGCCATCCAGGGCTGACGGCGCGTCTCTGAGTCCTACAGCAGAGATGTGTCACTTTCATAAAAGCTTATTCTGTTTAAAAAAAAAAAAACTTTAGGGGCGTCTGGGTGGCTCAGTGGGTTAAAGCCTCTGCCTGTGGCTCAGGTCATGATCTCAGGGTCCTGGGATCGAGCCCCACATCAGGCTCTCTGCTCAGCAGGGAGCTTGCTTCTCTCTCTCTCTCTGCCTGTCTCTCTGCCTACTTGTGATCTCTGTCAAATAAATACATAAAATCTTAAAAAAACACAAAACTTTATTTTGTAGTAATTACAGATTCACAGGAAGTCACAAAAACAGTAAAGAGAGGATCATGTTCCTTTCCCCCTGGTTAAGCGACTGCAGCACACTGTCGAGGTCAAGAGGGTCACTGGCGCGTCTGCAGAGGTACCCGGTGTCGGTGGGCACTCTGTGCCGTGGTGACTACCAGGGAGGTTCCTGCCACCACAACCAGGCACAGCGCCCCGCTGCCCCTCTGGCAACCCTAACCCTGTTCTCCCGGGTCGTCTGGTTCCAAGGGCGCCCTGAGAACGGAGTCCTGCATGGGTGACCCTGCAGACAGGCGCACTCGGCTCAGATGACGCCCGTGTCCGTCGTGTGCTCCCCTCCACCGCGGGGCGACAGTCCAGACACACCTGGTTTCTTGAACCTCTCACCTGTGGACGGGCATTCAGCTTTCTTCGCTTTGGGGGTTTTATGAACAAGGCTCTGTGACTCTCTGGGCAAAGGGTTCCGTGTGCACGTGTGGGCACGGGGTGCGTGTGGTCGCGTGCCTGCCGTCCTTCTGGGGAACCACCCCCCGCATGCTCCCGTCAGCACTGCGCCGCCGCCCCGCGCCTCCTTGTCCTCGCCGGCGCTCGGAGCTGTCGCTGTCTGCTGTTAGTTGGAGGAGGTGCCGCACCCAGTGTGGCACCCGGTGCGGGCCTCGAACTCCCGACGTGGAGATCAGGACCTGAGCCGCAGCGGAGAGGCAGGCGCCCATTTCTGCCGTTGTGGCGGGTGGGCAGTGAGGGTGCGTCGCGGCTCCAGCTGCATCTCTCTGTGGTGGATGGAGCGGAATGTCTCCCGTCCTTTCCACCATCTGTGTGTCCTCTCCGGCGTTTCTCTTTTTCTGACTGGGTTCTTTGTTTTCTTACCGCTGAGGTTTGAGAATGCCTCGCCCTGAGCGGACACGGGCTCTTGGCTGGGCTGCGGGTGCCGCCCGCGCTGCCCCGACGCTTCCACAGGGCTGACCACACGCCGTGGTCACGTCCAGCTGGCCCTGGTGTCCTCGTACCTCCTTTTAGCTCCTTTTCCCTTTTCGGTAGCGTTTCTAAAAACTCTGCACCCAGCCCTAGGGCCTAGATTTTCTCCCATGTTTTTTCAAAAGCCCTGAAGTTTTACGGGCGTGCATGTGGCGGGTGGGGAGAGACAAGGGAGAGGGAACATCCCCGTCAGGCTCCACATCCACAGGACCCTCTGGTCCTGACATCAGAGAGTCGGACACTTAACCAACCGAGCCGCACCGGGAACCCCCTGAAGTTCCGCATTTAACTTAATCATCTGTTTGGAGGCTCATTTTTGTAAAAGGTTTGAAGTTTAGTAGAGATTTATTTTTTTGCTTATAAATACTCAGTTTTCCTGCTATCATTAATGAGGAACCGCCCCTCTCCCACCGAGTGATGCTGGCTCCGCCGGGAACTGGTTTCCATCGCCACGGGCTCGTTTCTGGGCCCTGCTCTCCGAGCTCCGCGCGTCCGTCCCCAGGCCAGCGCCGCGCTGTGCTGACTGCGAGCGCCGTGGCAGGTCCGGAGACAGGAAGCGGGAGGCCTCTGGCTCCGCTCCTCTGCAGGCTGGTTCCCAGGGCTCAGGGTCCCCGAGATCCGCAGGGATGTCAGGACTGGTTTTTCTCCATCTCTAAAAATGGCGCTGGGACTCGGACAGGGGTCGCATGGACTCCGCGGTTTGCCCCCGGCCTGCGGACACTTTGGCGACGTTCGGTCTTCCAGCCCGTGAGCGCGGGACGCGTTTCCACATACTCACGTCTTCTTTCCTCTCTTTCAGCGACGTTCCGTGGTTTTCGGTGAACAAGTCTCTGTCTCCTTGGTTACGCTTATTCCTTATGTTTTACTGTTTTTGATGCTATTATAAATTACTTTTCTTAACCTCTTTTTTTCCTGATGGTTTATTGTCCGTGTATAGGAACATAACCGACTTCTGTGTCATATTTATGTCCTACAACTTCATTTATTACTCGTGCCAGTTTTTGGTGGACTTTTTGGGTTTCTTTACAGGTAAGATTGTTCATCTCCAAGCACAGATGCTACTTTTCCTTTATAGTCTGACACCTTTTGCATCTCTTTTCTTTGCCTAAGTGCTCTGGCTGGATTTGCAGCATGCTGTCGAACAGAAGTGGCGAGGGCAGTGTCCTCGCCTTGTTCCTGATCATCTGGGAGAACTCTTGGTCCCGCGGCACTGACTGTGATGTCTGCTCAGGTGCTCGTGTGTGGCCTGTAATAGATGGAGGAGGTTTCTTCCTAGTAATAGTTGGTGGGTCTTTTTTTTTAAGGTTTTGTTTTTTGGTTTTTTTTTTTTTTTTAAAGATTTTATTTATTTATTTGACAGACAGAGATCACAAGTAGGCAGAGAGAGAGAGAGAGGGAAGCAGGCTCTCTGCTGAGCAGAGAGCCTGATGCGGGGCTCGATCCCAGGACCCTGAGATCATGACCTGAGCCAGAGGCAGAGGCTTTAACCCACTGAGCCACCCAGGCGCCCCAAGGTTTTGTTTTTTAAGTAACCTCTACACCCCACGTAGAACTCGAACTCACAACCCCAAGATGAAGGGTCACTGCTGCACTGATGGAGCCACTGGGGGCCCTCCATTTTGTGTCTGTCACATCAGTAATGTCCCACTATCGTTTCTGATTTTAATCGTTTGAGTCTTGTCTCTTTTTTCTTTATTCATCTAGCTTAAGGTTTGTCAGTTTTGTTGATTCTTTCAAAGAACCAACTTTTGTTTTCATTGATTTTCCCTATCATTTTTCTGTTCTCCGTTTTATTTATCTCTGTTCTAATCTCGATTATTTCCTTCCTTCTGTTTGCTCTGGGTCTAGTTGCTGTTCTTTTCCTACTTACCCAAGGTATAAAATCCGATGCTTCGCAAAAAACTTCAAGTCTTAGCAAACCAAAGACCTGGATGCACCGTGAGTGCGCGTTACTCAATGAGAGAAGCCAGTCTGAGAAGACACACACTGTGTGGTTCCAGCTCTCTGGTGCTCTGGAAGAGGCAGAGCTGTGGACACAGTGCAAAGATGGCGGTTGCCTGGGGCCAGGGGGCCAGAGGCATGGAAGCGGGGTGTGTGGAGGACTTTTAGGGCAGTGAAAATAGTCTGTGTGATGGCACAGTGGTGGACAGGTGTCGTTCCGCATCTGTCCAGACCCAAACAGGGTACAACGTAAAGGACCCTGATAGGCAGGCTGACTTTGGTTCATCCTGATGCGTCAGCATTGGCTCGTGGACTGTGACAACGGACCAGATTCTTGCAGGATGCTAGTAATGGGGAGGTAGGTGAGAGAAGGGTGTGTACGGGAACTCTGTGTACTTTCTGCTCAGTTTTTCCCTAGACCTAAGTACATTTTTAGAAATAAAGTCTATAAATGGTTTAAAGAAAGAAAGAAAGCTGGGTCCTTGATTTGAGATCTTTCTTTTTTCTTTGAAGCACGTTGGTAGCTCTGGGCTCCTCTCCACAGCCGACGGCTCCCTCCCTGTGTTTGGGATGCTGTGTTTCTGTTTCCCTTGGTGTCCAGGTTACTTCTTTGACCTGTGGGTAATTCAGGAGGGAGTCATTTAATTTCCACACATTTGTGAATCTTCTGTTTCTCCTGTTACTGATTTCTGATTTCATACCGTTGTGGCCAGAAAATGATACTTTGTATGGTTTCACTTTTAAGTTTATTAAGACTGGTTTTGTGGCCCAACATACAGTCTGTCCTAGAGAATGCCTGGGTTATGTTGTTGTCGTTGAAGTTCCCTGCCCGTCGTGGGGCTCAGACTCATGACCCCAACACGAGGTGCCGCACGCTCCCCAGGCAGAGCCAGCCAGGCGTCCCTGGACGAAGTCATGGGGGATGTGTGGGGTGCGCTGCTCTGGGGGGCAGTTTTGTCTCTGCATTGTGGTACATGCGTGGCAGCCTCTCCTGCGGCTTCAGTTTCTGTCTGCCAGTGACCAAGACGTTGGTTGCCCAGCATCAGGTTGCCGTCTTCTCCTCGATGGTGGGCGTGGTTCTTTATGTGACCCGGACACAGTCCCTTGTTTGAGTGCCAAGACTGCATGCATCTGTCTCTCTCTGTGGTTTGATTTTTTATTCTAATGATGTCCTTTGAAAACAGAAGCTCTTAACTCTAATTCAGGCCAGTTTATCGACTGTTTTCTTCCATCATTACTGCTTTTGCATTTTCCTGAAGGAACTGCACGCTGCCCCAAGCATGAAGATGTTCTTCTAAACTCTCCACAGTGTTGCTGTCCCTTTTCAGTTTACAGTCCATGGGGACGGCTTCTGGGGACAATGGGACTCAAGATTCACTTTGTCCGCGGGGATGGTCAGCGACTCAGACGCGCCTTTCAGGAGACTGAACTTGGCCCACTGCTGTGCTGATGCATTTGCCGAAAGCCCAGTCCCTGTGCTTATGTAGGTTGCTTTCCCTCATGGGGGAAGATTCTAGGCTGATATCAAGCCATTCCCTTCCAGCACTTGGAGGCGGTCCATTTCCTCGGCTTCCAGTGTTTGTGAAGGAGGCCGTCTGGCAGCCAGGCCAGAGCAGGCTGGAGCAGCAGCCCGGCCAGATGCCCACGTCAGCTGTGCCCCATGGAGCCACAGATGCAAGTGTGGGGGAGCCATCCTGTTTCTCCTCCCTGCCCTGGTCCTGCCTGCCACCTGGCGTTCAGCAGAGCCCTGCTAGGGACAGGATTGGTCACCACAGGAGCTGCAGCCCACCTTTGCTGGTCCACACTTCCCTGAGTCTAGGCAGGGATATCTACATGGGAGACACACGCCAGAGGGCAGGGAGAGCCCAGCCTGGGGTCCCTGGAGGGCCTCAGGGCTGGGCTTCTTGGTGTTCCTGCAGCTAGACACAGCCTGCCAGTCCCATCGCATCCCATATGACATCCCAGAGAGGTGGGCAAGGCACATCACTGTGGTGCCCAACAGGGTCCATGATGCAGCCCAGCCCTAAGAGATTTCCCTCCCTCTGTAGGAGCCCTGCTGATGACCAACCGAGCTTGTAGCTAGGAGTGCAGGCCGCAGCAGGACGAGCCCCTCACTGCAGTCCGTGGGAGGAGTGGCTTCCCTGCTGCTTAAGTCTGAGGCACCTGTGTGTGTGTGCTAGTTGCGCCAGATATACACCCCTATTCTGTGTGCCTCTAGGAAAGCAGATGCTTCCAGTTAAAATACAAGGCAATGGTTTCTCATGTCTCTGCTTTTAACTGAAGCTCTGGGAGAGCTCTGTACAAGTGTAGGGGTAAGAAGGAGGCCCTCGGGACTTCTGGGTCCTCTCCAGCCCAAGGTTGTGGGTGCGCCCCTGGGGACCTATCTGCTGATTCTGGTGCTGGTGCTCCTGGCTGGGCAGGCCCCGGCACCTGTGGACAGGTAGGCATCATCAGACACAGGGGATCTGAAAAGATGTGCATCTCCACATGGCTGAAAACGCCAGTACACGTGTTGGATCCAGTCAGCCCTGCTCCCCGGGGTGTGGGCCCCCAGCACACACACAGTCTCGGTGTTGCAAAGATCTGAATGCTTTCCGTGCAGCCAGGAGACTGAGGGTCAGAGAGCCCGGTCTGGAGGCCCTGGGGCTGCTGGTCCCAGGAGGTGGGCTGCCAGGGCATTTTCTGTAGTTCTGGTTTGTGTTTTCAGGCCCCGTCCTGCTGTTGGCCAGTGACAATGTAAAACAGCGCCTCGGCTCTGCTGCCCTGGACAGGTGCGCCAGCCCTTGTGTGGGACAGCTTCCGGCTCCCTGGGGTTCCAAGCACAGCCTTGAGCTGCACCTTCCACGCCCGCGCGCACCCCGCCGTCTGCGTTCCCCTAACCCCCTGGAGTCTGTGGGCCCTCCTGCCCGGTCTGCAGCACCGGGCCCTGCTCACCCCCTGTCTGTGCTCTGGCATCGGTGTCCCTCCACGTGTGTCTTCCAGTATCCATGAGTACCGGCTGTCCAGCTGGCTGGGGCAGCAGGAGGACATCCACCGGATCGTGCTGTACCAGGCGGACGGCACGCTCACACCATGGACCCAGCGCTGCATCCGGCAGGCTGACTGCATCCTCATCGTGGGCCTGGGCGAGCAGGAGCCCTCAGTGGGCGAGGTGAGCTGGCGGGCGGGGCGGGGCCTGCGGGGCGGGGCCTGGGGAGCGGCTGGCTGTGCCTCCCGCGAGGCAGGGCTGCGGACTAGGCAGGTCCTGGTCCGCTGCTCTCTTCATGCCCCTCTGTTTCTCTGTCTTTTCCTTCGAATGAAATATTTCGAGAACTCAGGAAGAGACAGATAATAAAAGCCGACACCCGCAGCTCTGGCCTGCATGTTTTGGAAACATTTTGCTGCATTGACCTCTGGTGGTTTTAGCACAAAGCAGGGCAGCTGCCCTGAAGTGGCCCTGGGGGGCCTCTTGTGAAGTGGCGCCTTTCCTGTTCCACTATGAATGTGTTCAGCGCTGGTTTTCAGGTCTAAATTTGATAAAAATCGTGTCCTATTTTATATCACTTTGAAGCGTCCCTTTTTCTCAACGCTTTATCCATATTGTTTCGCTCATTTTTATGACTGTTAAGTCTCCTCTCTGTGAGCACCCGCCATCTCTCTGTTCTTCGCTGTGAGGTGACATCGCCGGCCCACTTTGTCTCCAGCTTCAAGGCTGCGGGGTGTCAGCTCCTTCCTCTCTGACCCTGGGGCAGCTAAAATTGCCCGACTCCGAAGCAGGTTCCTCTTCTGCAGGCAGAGCTGCAAGGGAGCGTGCCTCAGTGAAGTGACCTTCACTGAGAAGGTCACAGTGTGTGCCCACGAGGTGCTGTGAGAGCCACGGACGGGGAGGAGGCCCTCCCCTCCTGGCCACTCTCACCCAGCCCAGCGTGAAGCAGTCACGTGGCCAGGCAGACCCCTGGGTCACAGCTGTGACCGCCAAAGGGCAGAGCACAGCACAGCCAATCTGGCTCCCAGGACCGGGCTGCCACCTGCCAAGGCCCTGCCCGAGACCTTCCTGCCTGTGGGGGCAGGTCCATCGGGCAGGGGCTGGAGTGGGGGCCTCCGTGACAACCCACCTCTGGCGGTCAGCTGCGTCCTGCCCGCGCCCTCAGGCTGTGCTGTCCTGCAGCTGGAGCGGATGCTGGAGAGCACAGCCGTGCGTGCCCAGAAGCAGCTGATCCTGCTGCACCGGGAGGACGGGCCAGCGCCCTCTCGCACCGTCGAGTGGCTGAACATGCGTAGCTGGTGCTCTGGCCACCTGCACCTCTGCTGTCCTCGCCGCGTCTTCTCCAGGAGAAGCCTGCCCAAGCTGGTGAGGTCTGGGCGGTGGGCCGGCCCCACGGGAACGCCTGGCCTCCAGAGCAGCCTTCCTGACTGCTTTGTGATGGAGGAGTACAGTTCCTTCCCGTTCCCTCTTCAGGTCCCTGTAGCCTGAGCTCCCTGGGCTGCTGATGAGGCTGGCTCGCCTCTCTGTGAGCTCACGTTTTCCTGAGCTTGACTTTTGGGGGCTGTACCTAGGAGAGGGATGTGGCCCCTGTCCGTCAGCAAGCGTCTCTCTCTGGGGCCGCAGAGGGGAGGCACGCTGGCACGCACGTACCTCCCCAGGAAGGCCAGGGGGAGGGCACTGGAGCCCGCCAAGGGGCGGGAAGAGAGCCTCCTCAGCCCTGGGGGCTTGGGGCCTGGGCGTCCCAGAGGCTGCCCACATGCCACAACCTGCCTGGCCCCACAACTCAGTGGACAGTGTCCTCATAGCCCTTGCCCAGCGCAGCCTCCATCTGGGGGACTTGGTGGGGGGGGAGGGGGCTCGGCGCTCGGTCTCCTGCTGGGCCCTGGAAAGGGCTTTGGGTCTGGAATACAGCAAACCACCCTGGTCAGGCCACAGTGTGTGGGACTTGGCCCAGCCCTCCCTGGCCCCTGGCCCCTCTCTCAGGTGGAAATGTACCAGCGAGTCTTCCAGAGGCCCCCAGACCGGCACTCGGACTTCTCCCGCCTGGCTCGGGTGCTGACCGGCAACGCCATTGCCTTGGTGCTTGGGGGAGGGGGGGCAAGGTGAGTCCCCACGTGCAGCTGCTGCGTGTGTGCGCGCGTGTGCGTGCTGATGAGGGCACTGAGCTCGTCCTAGCCGCAGGCCCCGCAGGTCAGCCCCACACACGACCGGGCATGTCTGCACACCTGGCTCCGCCTTGCCAAGCAGTGCTTCCCGCAGGCTCTCCCAGGTTTTAACGGTTGTCCGTGCAGTAGAAGATTCCTGTCTTGTTCTAACAGTCTTTGCTGGAAGTGTCTGCTTGTCTGTTAGCCATCCGTGCCTCCTCTGAAAACTCTGTTCTTACCGTTTGCCAGTCTTTCCGTTGGGCTCCGGGTGAGTGTCTTTCCGTTTTAATACACACTTTATAGAGTGCTGGTTTCATCTGCTCGCAGACCTAGCGCGGCTTCCTCGAGTTCTGTGGGCTGATGCGTTCCTGAAATGACTGCTGCCCCACGTTTGTCGCTCTGGCCCTTGCTGCCTTTCCCCTGAGCTTAAAGAGGGATCTGCTCCGGGAGCAGACGTGGAGCCCGGGGCCGCCGTCAGGAGGTGCAGTGAGGCGCAGGCCTTCTGCTGGCGAACCAGATGCTCACGGAAGGGCAGAGCAGCACCTGCCACACCCGTGCTGGGCCCCTGCCCCTCGGAGGGAGTGGGGGAGAGCAAGGGGCACCCAGCCTGAGCGCTGGGCTACGGGGCGCATGTTTAATGGAAATTTAGTTTAATCAAAATAATACTTAGTTTAAAAGCCCTGTGGCCGTTCCCTGAGGCAGTCCTCTGCCTGCTAGCCCTGACGGCGTGTCCGGAGGGGTTCCCGAGACTGTGACCCACGGCGTGGTGTTGGCTCTCCGCTCGTCTGCATTTCCAGATGGCACTCCTATTTTGTGTGTTCGGGTTTTGTTCAGTTCTTCTGTCCATCCATCATCTACCTATCACCTGCCGTCCACCTACCTATTACGGCTCGTCCATCTGTCCACCCGTCCATCTGTCCTCTTTCCTCTGTCTTCTGTCTGTCAGTCCGTCTCCCTGCTCACCACTCCCAGTCCCAGTATGGTTCCCACACTGGTCCCGCTGGTTGTCCCTATGTCTCTTATTCTGACAACGTGGCATGCGTCCTTGCACAGGTGTGGCTGTACGTCCTTCCTCGTAGCTGCTGTGGGCTGGGTGTCACGGATGGCTGCCCAGGCCGCCCCGGAGCACCCGCCTCCTGTCAGTGCGCTCGCCGCCATCCCAGACGGGCTCTGCTTCACCGTGTGTGGGAGCCACACCCCGCCCAGGCCTCCCACCACCTCTGGGCTCTTCTGGTTGCTTTCCAGTCTGGCTGATGGGACACGGTCTTGGATTTTCCCTTCACTGTCATCCTGGGGCCTGCCTTTGTCCCTCCCGCGTTCGGCTCATTTTCTCAATTCCACGGCTCCCCCTTTCCTGACACATTCCTGACTTGGGTAGCGTTCCTGCTCTACACATTTCCTCAAGAGAAGAAGGAAAAGTTTTAAAAGGCCGCATAGCCGAAAATGTCTTCAGGGATGATTTGGGTCTGGAATCCAAGCTGGAAGTAATTTTCCCTGAGAATTTCTCCGGGGTGCTGCCATTGCCCTTTGAGCTTCCAGTGTCCCTGCTGGGATGTCCGGTGCCACTTCATTCATGAGGCCTGTTTTCTCTGAGAGCTGGCGGGGGGTGGGTGTCTCGTAGTTCCTGTCCCTGCAGGCACTTGGCCATGTGCCTTGGGAGCAGTCCATCCATCCACTACCCTGGGTGGGCTCAGGGGCCCTTCCACATTTGGAAATCATGATCTTTGGCCCCAAGGAATGTTCTGTGTGTTCCCCGACCTGGGCTCTGTCCTCTGTTCCCGGCACTTCTGGCGCTCGGTCAGGCATCCGAGATGGGCCCCCAGCCCTCCTGTCTTTCATCTCCCTCGTTTTCCATCTGTCTTTTTGTTCCGCTTTCCAGGTGATTTTTCTCAAATAGATGTTCTGCTAAAATATTTCTAATCCCCGGGGCACCTGGGTGGCCCAGTTGGTTAAGTGTCTGCCTTCAGCTCAGGTCGTGATCCTGGAGTCCCAGGAGTCTCTTCTCCCTCTGCCTGCCGCTCCCCTCCGCCTGTGCATGCGCTTTCTCTGTCAAATAAATAAATAAAATCTTTTTTAAAAACCTTCAAAAAACATTTCTCATGTCTGAGTGCTCTCCTGTGGTGTTTTCGCTGTCCCTCAAGTGCAGTGCTGACGCGCTCCGAGGATACTCACGCAGGCGTCTCCCCAGCCTCACCTTCCCGCTCCGTGCAGGCTCTCGTGTGGCTTTGCTCGCTCAGCCCTCGGGGCGCAAGGCCACATCAGCGGTCCTGCGGAGCGCGGTGCACCGTCTGCCACACTCTGCTTACCCCGGTCCTGGCCGTGGTCACCTGAGGGATTGAGGGGAACGGCTGTGACTTCTTGCAGAAATCTTCCCGCGCGTGCCGCTCTCTCCTCTCCTGCTTGCGGGGCTCCGCTTACGCTCCACGCCCCCACCAGTGACGTCCGGCGTCCACGCTCCCACACTTCGCCAGCCTCGGTGTTATTAGGACTTCGAACTGTTGCAGTGCACGCGCTGGGGGGGCTCTTCCTGGGGACTGATGAGCTCATGTGCTTGCTCTGGCCGCTCCTGTCCCTTGTTTTGTTTCTTAGCCTTTGCCTCCCTCGCGCGTGTCTCCCTGGTGGCCTGTCTTTGTTACTGATTCAGGGCACTTGTTCATGGAGTCTGAACTCAAGTCTTTTGCCAGATATATTTGTTGTTAACTTTGTCTCTCAGTCTTCGACTTCTCGTTTTCTCAGTGGTGTTTCTTCGATGAACAGGTTTTAACGTCGATGTAGATGAGCTGCCGGAGGAGCCCGGTGTTTAGTTTTGCTCAAGTGTGGTTTTCCGTTTTTACGGTGATTGCTTCTGGTGTTCTGAGCGCCCTTGCCTGTCCCAAGGTCACAGAGGCATGCTTTCGTCCTCCGGGAGCTCTGTGCGTCCGGCTTGTACGGGTCTGTGGTCCACCTGCCGTTGCCTCGTGGCAGCCGAAGCTGTTTTGTAGCCACTCCGGTAAAGACCTCCCGGCCCCTGAGGTCACTGTATCACCCGCATGGCTCTGTCATGTGTGTGTTTTAGGATGCCCCACACTGTCTCGACACCCTTTTGGTAAACCTTGACTTCAGGCCCTGCACATCCTTCCGTTTTGTTTTTTGGTTTTTTCAAAATTGTCTTCATCTGCTCAGGTGCTGGCACACACAGCTAAGCGTCTTAAGGGCTACTTCTTCCTGTGGTAAATGTCATACTTTGAATTTCATGTTCACAGTGTCGTCGCCAGTGAGCAGAAACACACAGCGGATATGTGTACCTCGCTGCTGCGTCTTAAAGCCTTGCTAAATTCACGAATTCTAGTGACTTTGTTATAGGCTTCTTCTTCTTTTTTTTTTTTTTAACATTTCCTGTATATAAGTTATATCTTTTGAGAATCAAGGCAGTTTTTCTCTTTCTTTCTGAAATATGTTTATGTCTTTTGTTTCTTCTTCTTCCTGCCTTGTTGCCATGGGAGGGAAAGCGCTGACTTCTGTCTCAAATGTGGTCTTGCCGTAGGCTGGGTGTTGGACGGAAGAAGTGCCCATCCTTAGCCTCTTGCAGAGGGTGCAGTGTGAAGGGGTGCTTTGGGTGTGTGTTAAAGTGCTGAATTACACTGATGTTTAAACAGAAACTAACACTTTACTCTGGGGAGAGATTCACTTGCCCACGATGCGCCGTCCTCTTTAAACCCTGCTGGCCTCCCTGTGAATCTGGGTGCGCTTGTCCTTTCTTGAGACGTGTGTGGGTTTGTTTGCTGGCTTCAGAATTGAGTTGGGAAGTGCTGCTTCTTTTCCTATTTTCTGAAATTTTTATGTAAGATCTGTGTTACTCTTCCCTACATGTTCAGTAGCATTCACTAGTAAAACCATCTGGACATACGATTTTCTTTGTGAACATTTAAAAATCAAAGGCTCAGTTATGTTGACGGTTATAGTACGATTCAGATTTTCTCGTGTCAGATTTGGCGAGTGATGCTGTTCTACGAACGTGTCCTTTTCATCTCTTCCCACCTCGTGGGACTCACACCTGCTTCTCACTGCGCTAACTGGGGCGTCTGTGCAGATGTGCGCTTTCTCGCTCCTGACAACCTCCCCCCGAGCGGGTCCCTTCCACCGTGTGTTTGTTTCCTGGTTCCTTAATTTCTGCTCTTCTCTGTATTATTTCCGTAATTTGACTTGGTTTAAACCGTTGTTCTCGTGCAAAGTGGAGGCTTGTGGATGTTGTGTTGTGACCTCAGAGGACAGAGAGCTCAGCCCTCTTGCACCGCACCCGTGGGGACAGCCTTCTGTTCCCGGGCTGCTTGGAAGTTTCTTTCTGTCTCCGGTTTCCAGCAACGTGGCAACGGCTTTCTTTTGATTGATGCTTGGAGTTCATGGTGCTCCTTTAACCGGAGGCTTGAAGTTGACGGTCAGTTCCATCTAGACCACCATCTGTCCCTCCAGATACTGCTTCTGCCCCACCCCTTTCTTCTCTTTCTGGGCGCCTCTGCCGGATCCCATGCGAACTCTAGGCGCTTGGACGTCTGTTCTGGGGAGCGGTCTCCATGGTCGCCATCCCGGGGTGTCCTGTGACTCAGTGAGCATCTTCTTCTGCCGTGTCTGTGGGGGGCTCTCAGTGTCTGTGGCCCACTGCCTGACACACCGGTTGCGTTCTTCACTTCACACACTGGATCTCCACTTCTTTTTTTAAGATCTTATTTTTACTTATGAGAGAGCGAGACAGCGAGAGCAGGAACACAAGCAGGGGCAGTGAGAGAGGGAGAGGCAGACCCCCGCTGAGCAGGGACCCCCCCCCCCCATGCGAGACTCAATCCCAGGATCCTGGGATCCTGACCCAAATCAAAGGCAGACGCTTAACCACTGAGCCCCCCAGGCTTCACCCCTTCTCTCCACTTCTACAGTTGCTGTTTGGCCTCGTCTTATAGTTTTCAGTTCTATCAAAATTATCAATCTTGTCTTTAATTTCTGTAAAAATTTTTTAGGCTTATACCTGAGTGTTCAGTTTTTTTATGGTGATATTAAATATTATTGTTTTTTATTTTTTAAAGATTTTATTTATCCATTTGACAGAGAGAGATCACAAGCAGGCAGAGAGGCAGGCAGAGAGAGGCAGAAGCAGGGAGCCCGATGCGGGGCTCAATCCCAGGACCCTGAGATCATGACCTGAGCTGAAGGCAGACGCTTTAACCCACTGAGCCACCCAGGCGCCCCTTAAATATTGTTTTTAATAGTGTTAAAATATGCATGCCATAAAATTTACTACTTTAAATATTTTTGACTGTAAAATCTGGGGGCATGAAGTTCATCGGGGGCCGTGCAAGCGTTACTGCGCATCCCCAGAGCGTTAATCTTCCCACACGGAACCCCTGTTCTCCACCATCTCTGTGTGTGTGGGCGTGACTCCTCCAGGTCCCTCAAGTGAGGGGACCCTCGTCCTTCTGTGTCTGGCTTCTCTCACCAGGGGGAGGCGCTCGCGTTCGTGCACGTGGTACCTTTCCGAGCCGGGCCACGTCCCTTGAACGCGCAGTCCGTGCTCTGCTCACTCGTTCATCTGTCAGGCACACAGACCCCTTTGGGCCCCGGGGCTTGCTGGGCGCAGCTCTCTGGAGCCTGTGCCGCGTCTCTGTGGCTCCCTCGCAGCCCACCCATCTTGCTTGTCCCTCCTGGCTGTGGTCCCGTGGCCTGATCTCCTCTGTGACTGACAACTTGCAGTGGGCATCACCGAGGAGAGAGGAGCGGTGGCTGGAGGCTCAGGGCGGTGGCTCCGGTCCCGCACTGGCTTTCCTGTTCCTGCACGGGCTCGTCCGCATCCACCCCCACCCTCATTAGGAGCCCCTGCAGGGGCCTCTGGGGGTCTCCCGCCTCCCAAGTCTGTGCAGAGCCTGTTCAGCTTCACATCCCAGCAGTGTCCGTGGGGCCGTGTCTCTGCCCATTTTCTGTGACTTACGCAAGGGGTGGGCACCGAGGGGGGGGTGGCCCGGGAAGACCATCTCTGCCGCCTTTGCTGGCGCGCAGCACGGTGCCGTGCCCGGTGACAGTGCCCCCCGTGCTCTGTGCTCCTGGTGGGTATAGAGGCTGTGCCCAGGTCGGCATCATCCGGGCCCTGACGGAGTGTGGCATCCCCGTGGACATGGTTGGAGGGACGTCCATCGGGGCCTTCATGGGCGCCCTGTACGCCGAGGAGCGGAACTACAGCCAGATACGGATCCGGGCCAAGCAGTGGGCTGAGGTGAGGGGCCTCGGCCCACCCTGGAGCTTAGCCCCAGGTCCCTGTAGTGCCGCGGGGGCAGGAGGACATCGGGAACTTGGGCCCCTGCTCGCGGCTCTGCAGGCTCTGGCCTCAGAGCGGGGTTTGTGGGGTGGTGTGGGAATGGGGAGCACAGAGCAAGAAAGGATATCAGTGTTGGGGACTTGGCTCTTCATTTATCAAGGTGACTGAGGTCGACATGGAGAGGTCAGCACCATTGGAAGGAGAGTTTCATGTTACCTGTCGTTCAGCTGAGGGTCTGGTCACAGGCCAGGCAGACGTTTCCCTTCCCTGCCTCAGCTGTGGGAACGGCCGTGGACCTTTGGGCCTGCTGCCCTCCTTGTCCTCAGTGTGTGTTGGGTCATGGGGCCCCCTGGGAGGCCGCTCTACACGGCCAGGTGGGCTGGATCCCGTCCAGGCTGTCCTCTGTCCCTGCCTTTCTGGGGGAGCCTTCGGCCTCCTGCCACGCTGAGGGAGGTGGCAGTGGGGGCCTCCAGGCTTGGCCTTGCAGAGGCTCTCCGGTGCTAGACGGGGGTTTCTTCAGGAGTGAGGGCCTTGCTAACCACGGACGACCCTGGGGGTGCCACGCTGTCCCGCGTCCCTGCCCTGCAGCAGCACACTTGTTCCCTCTGCTTGTCCCAAGGCAGGGTCTACGTTCTGTTCATCTCCGTGGGAGCACACTGGGGGCACCTCACCCTCAGCTGGGGCCTCATATCACACATGGCCTGTGTGCTGGGTATTTCTGCCTCGGCTCTGGGCACCCAGCAGCAGGGCACATCTTTCCTCTCCATCCCCAACCCTTAAGAAGTGAGGCAGCCTTGAACCCGGGCATTCTGGGGCAAGGCCAGTGCTCCCTGCAGGTCTAAGTGGCCCCCGTCTTCACTGAGGAAGGATGGGCCTCAGTCCCACCAGAGAGACAGGGTTAGGGAGTTTTGGCAGAAAGGGCCCTCAACAGGGCCCCCCTTTCCCAGACCCCGATGGAGTGTGTGCCATGGTAGCGTGTCAGTGGTGGTGGAATGTGAGGGTCAGCCCCAAGCATGCTGGGGCAGGGCAGCTCCCCCTCCCGGGGAAGCCTTGATGGGTCGTATTTACCGCTCTTGGGGATCCCAGCAGGGAACTCTTACCCATTCACCTGCCAGCGTTGGTCCTGGATGGGGCTTTGTCCAGAACTCCCTGAGCAGGCAGTGAGAGCCAGGCGTCCGCGGGCGTCCTTGTAGGACCTCCAGGCCCTGCTGCTCATGCCCTGGCTCTAGCCCCCTCCCAGACACCCTTGCTATGCTCACAGGGAGCACATGTGTGTGCTCTGGCCCAGCTCCCTTCCCAGACTGGGGTCCCATGGGATCATCCACTGCCTGTGCCAGAAGGTGGGGTGAAGCCCTCACCCTCTGTGGGGCTATCATGTGTGCCTTGCCCACTCAGGACATGACGTCGATGGTGAAGACTGTGTTGGACCTGACCTACCCGATCACGTCTATGTTCTCGGGCGCCGGCTTTAACAGCAGCATTTGTAGCGTCTTCAAGGACCGGCAGATTGAGGTGCCCCCCCGCAAGCAGGGGTCTCCCTCATCTCCTTGAGCCTCCAGGGCTGCAGGGTTGAGGGTTGACAGCGGGGGAGGATGGCCCTTCTGAGTCGTGCCGTCCCCTTGCAGGACCTGTGGATCCCCTACTTCACCATCACCACGGACATCACGGCCTCTGCCATGAGGGTCCACACGGATGGTGAGCACCTCCTCCTTGGGTCCGCTGATAGAGGCTCAGACATGCACGGGGGCCCAGGCCCCCTTCCCCCCCGCCCCACCCCCACCCCCGAAGCGTGGGTTGGGGGAGGGGTACTGAGGACCTGCTCAGGGGGTTGTGGGGGGCGGGGGCAGGCAGAGAACCTAGAAGCTGCCTGAGCCAGGGGAAGCACCAGGATGACCCAAGGAAGGCAGCTCAGGGAGGTCTGGACCCAGAGAGGTTCCTGCCGTGAGCGTGTGGGACGCGAGATAGCAGTGTGAACTGAGAGCAGACATGGACAGGGCAGAGGGCACACTTGTACCCGGGGTGGGGGTGGAGAAGGGCACACTCAGGCCAGGAGTGGGGGGTGGCGAGGGGCACATGGAGGGCGTGTGTTTTGTGGGCTCCAATCAGCAGCTGGGGGGAGACTACTGGGCTGGGGACCGTGAGGCAGCCAGTAGGTGGGTGGCAGCTGAGGGCCCTTTTCTAGGGCAGAGTGGTTTGTAAGCTGAGTGCATGTGTCTCCTTGGAGGTGAGTGGGACTATGGGGCTCACAGAAGGCTGTGGCACACACAGTACAAGGTGGGGAGCCCGTAGAGCCGGTAGGGCCTCCCCTGGGCCTCTGGCCCTCCCCATTCTCCCTCTGTGGAGAGAGCCTCTCTGGGGGAGGAGGAAGAATAGGAGGTGTGTCTATCTGTCCAGGCCTGGTGCCATCCACCGGACGTCAGACGTGTAGACTTCAGGACCCTGCGCTGTCAGCGCTCTAGGCCCAGGGTCTCGGGCAGGAACCCAGTGTGGGCAGCGAAAAGCTCCCCTCCTATCCCCTTGGCAGGCCCTGGTGGCAAGCCCTCTGCCCTGCCTCTCCCCCAGGCTCCCTGTGGAGGTACGTGCGTGCCAGCATGTCTCTGTCAGGCTATATGCCTCCCCTCTGCGACCCCAGAGACGGACACCTGCTGATGGACGGGGGCTACATCAACAACCTCCCAGGTACCGTGGCCACCTCCACTCCCGGGGAGCCGGAGGCACACAGTTTCCTCTGTGTGTGCTCATGGAGCCCCGAGAAAGCGCACAGACGCGTGCAGACGCAAGCCCTTGTGACACACTGGGCCGTCGTGTACTCCCAGCATATGGCCGTTTGGCAGCTCAGCCGCACCCGGAGCAAGGGCCAAGCAGAGTTGCTGAGAGCAATTATGGCCCATCTGTGCCTGCAGTCAGAACTAACAGCCAGGAAGTACCAGGGTTGCTGTGGGTGTGCCCCCTCCTTGGGCACACCTGTCACCTGTTGGATAGTTCGCGTTAGTCCGGGAGTGACACTGGACCCGAGCCCTTCTGGCCCTTGCAGGCTCTGCCCCGCCCCCCAGCCCTACTCCCCTCTGGGGCTCTGCAGGCCTGTCCCAGGCGGTAACCACGGCTGTCTCCTCCCCAGCGGATGTGGCCAGGTCTATGGGGGCGAAGGTGGTGATTGCCATCGATGTGGGCAGCCAGGACGAGACGGACCTCACCAACTACGGCGACGCACTGTCTGGGTGGTGGCTGCTGTGGAAACGTTGGAACCCCTTGGCCACAAAAGTCAAGGTGGAGGCAGAGCTCTGCCCGGGGCCCGGGCGGCCAGGGGCTCCTTGTGGCTCCTCTGTGCCTCTGTCCCCAAGATGCTCAGCATGGTGCTGTGGGCGGCAGAGGGCTGCAGTGGTCTCCAGGCTCCAAGCCAGCGGGGGTGCACTCACTTGCTCCCTGTCCGTGTCGGGAAGCCTGGCTGGACCAGCACTGGGGAGGGGAGCAGGCCCGTTACCCGCCAGGATCCCTTCCCAGGAACCTTGGCTGGGCACCGCCCTCCTCCCAGGCCTAGCAGAGACATGTCTCCCCTTGGGAGAGGGAGGGCAAGGGTTGGGGTGGGAGACAGGCAGCTGCACCCGCATGGGGGCCGTGGGGTTGGGGGGGCCCGCAGAGCGTGGCTCAACGCTGTGAGGGCAGCAGGTGTTGAACATGGCGGAGATCCAGACGCGCCTGGCCTACGTGTGCTGCGTCCGGCAGCTGGAGATGGTGAAGAACAGCGAGTACTGTGAGTACCTGCGCCCCCCCATCGACGGCTACGGCACTCTGGACTTCAGCAAGTTCAACGAGATCTGCGTGAGTGCCGCTGGGGCGCGGTGCCCGCCTGCCCTCATGTCCCAGCCCAGAAGTGGGGCCTCCTGACTCCTCCCCGGGTCCCTGGTGTATGTACAGGAAGTGGGGTACCAGCATGGCCGGACGGTCTTTGACATCTGGGGTCGGAGTGGCGTGCTGGAGAAGATGCTGCAGGACCGACAGGGGCCGAGAAAGATGAAGGCCTGTGACGTGAGTGCCCGACCTAGCGCCCCTCCCTCCCTCCTGGGACCGGCCCTCTGCCTGTCTCAGCAGGCCTGAGAGGTGCAGGGCTCCCTGCAGCCTGCGGGACCTTGGCACACACCCCCACCGGGGCCAGAGGATGGGGGCAGGGGTGCGGCCCTGTGGGAGCTATCTCTTGGTCTCTGCCCTGACATCCCTTGTTTCTCACTGTGGCTCTGCTGCTCATGGTGGGACGGGATGGGGATTTGCTCAGGCCTCTGTGCTTCTTCTAGGCCCTGCCCTGCCCCAACTCCAGGGGGCTGGGCATCTCAGCAGGCCGAGACCACAGAGGGTTGCAGAGAGGGGCTGGGGGACTGGCCAGGCAGCCAAGGGCTGTGGTGTGGGGATCAGGGGAGCTGTGGCCTTGGCCACATGTCTCTTCCACCTCGGCTCTCCAGGTCCTCACCTGCCCCAACGCCTCCTTCACTGACCTTGCGGAGATTGTATCTCGCATCGAGCCGGCCAAGGCAGCCACGGTGGACGGTGAGTTGGGGCTCAGGACACACACCTGCATAGCTGAGGATGACATTGGCAGTGTCCCCTTCTAACCTTTGGCACGCCCCACAAGCTGCCCTGGCCTCCAGGCCCTCCCAGCAGCCCTGGGGCCTGATGACCGCTGTGGCACGGCCCCTGCCCTTGGGGGCACCAACACAGCCCTCCCCTGTGCCCAGATGAGTCTGACTACCAGACGGAGTATGAGGAGGAGCTGCCGGACGGCCCCAAGGATGCGTATGCGGACTTCCAGAGCGCCCCGGCCCATGCAGGCTCGGACTCGGTGAGCTGTCCGGACCTGCCTGCACGCCTGGGCTGAGTCAGCTCTGAGGGCTCTGGGCAGGCCAGCTGCTCGCTCCCTGCTGCCCTGCAGTGCAGAGCCAGAGAAACCTGGCCCAGGGTCAGCCGTCCAGGCTCACCCCCACCCTGACGTTGTGCTGTTTGCTTCCAGGACGACGAGTCCTCCCTCCGGCATTGAAACCCCATCTGGCTTCCCAGAACTGCCCCCCGGGCTGCTGCTACCCTTGGCACTCAGACTGCGATGGACAGAGGTCTCCCCTCCCGTGCACCCTAGAGCAGCACCCATGGAGGGCCTCTCCCCCAGCCTGCCAGCGAGACCTGGCGGGGAGCCCCCTAGTCAGCCTCCCTGGTGTTGGAGGCCCAGCTGCGTGGTGGGGCACTGGGTGCGGACAGCAGTCCCTGGGCTGTGCCCGCCACTGTGGGGCCCGGTGCCTCGGACAGGTATTGGAATTCCCCGTGCACCTGCTTAATGTATCAATAAAGGTGGATCCCACCGTGTGTGGACGTGTGCCTGGCCAAGTCCCTGTGGCAGAGAGCGGCACGATGGGCCAGGGAGCAGCCTGGCCCGTCACTGGTGCACGGTGCGGGGGGAGGGTTTGGGAGCATCGCCTGCTGTCCTCCGAAGTCACCACGGGAGGGGGGACCCCAGGCACCCCCGTGACCAGGCAAGCAGGATGCCCAGGGTCCGCTCGGGTCTGGGGAGCCCCCCAACCGAGGAGACCCCTCCTGACCTGTCGGGCATCCTCCCCCACAGAACTATGCCGCCCACACCGAGACCAGGGAGCCCTTCTGTATAGAAGGAGGGGCAACTTCGGCCCCGCGTCTTTGGGGCCCGCAGCCCCTGCAGGTCTCCAGGGGCACGGAGCCCCCTAACCCGAAGGCCTAGGCCCTTGCAGTCAGGGGACCGCCGGCCTCAGTTTCTCCGCGCCCACCCCCAAACCTCCCCCCCCCCACCCCACCCCGAAGCCGGCACGGTGGGCGGAACCACCTCCCCAGTCCCCTCCGGACGACCCCGCCGGGCATCGACGTCACAGGCGGCCACCCCAAGGCGTGACGTAGCGGTGGGCGGAGCCCCAGGCCCGCCCCGTCCGTGACGTCGCGGTGGGCGGAGCCGCCGCCCCCGGCCCCGGCCGCGCTCTCCGGGTGCGGCGGGACTCGCGGACGGCCCGGTGCGGCCATGCGGGGCCCGGGCCCGAGCCCCAGCCCCAGCTCCGGCCCCGGCGCGGCGCGGCTACCCCGGCGGAGGCGGCGGGCGCGGGGCGCGCTCTGAGGCCAGGGGATGCGCCGCCGCCGCCGCGACCATGGGCGCCGCCGCCTCCCGGAGGAGGGCGCTAAGGAGCGAGGCCATGTCCTCGGTGGCGGCCAAAGTGCGGTGAGTGCGGCGGGCCGGCCGCCGGGGCCCCGCGCCCGCCCCCTCCCCCGCGGCGTCCTCCCCGCGCCGGCCCCGTCCCTCGCGGCGGGGCTCCTCGCCGCGTCTCCCTCCCCCACCGCCACCGACAGCTCGGCGCGGCCGCGCTCCCGAGACCGCTATGGGCGACGCGCCTGACCTCACGACCCCCGCGCGCGGACCCCGCTCACGGAGTGACGGCGGCCGGACGGAGCGCCCACCCCGGCGCCGGCCACGTTGCACCGGGACCCGGGCGGGGGGGGGCCCGGAGCTGCGCCCTGCCCGCGCTGGGTTTTCTGGGGGCGGGACGGCACGGTCGGCCGTGAGTGACCCCGACCCTTACCTGGCTGGTGCCCAAGGGCTGGGTGGGGGTGGGGACCCCAGCTCCCTTCTGGGGAGCGTCCAGAGCGACCCGGGTGCACTGAGAGCGCACCCCGCTGTCCACCCTTCAGAGCAGCCCGAGCATTTGGCGAGTACCTGTCCCAGAGTCACCCTGAGAATCGGAACGGTGCAGGTAGGGGCATTCGAAGAGGTGCCCGGACGGAGTTGGTCCGCAGCACCCCCCCCTCCCCCCGCCACCCCCACAGCCTAGGGATGCTGTCCCCTGCCCCAGGCCTGGCCCAGGCCTGCTCCCAGCTCCAGGGCTGGGAGCAGGCAGCAGGAGCTGCCCTGCTGGGCTGGTTTCCTCACGCCCCCTGCCCTCCCTGGCCCAGAGCCTCAGGAGGAGCTCAGAGTCACTCATCACCATGGCACCCACCCAGCCTGGGCCGTTGGCATGGCAACAGGCCTCCTGGCACCCCCAGGGTTGGCACCGCTGTCTCTGGGGGCCAGCTGGTGGGGGGGAGGGGAGAAGTTGGCACTAGGCGCATGGGTGCAGTGGAAGGCTGGGAGGTGGCATGTTCATTCCTGTCTCCCCCTGTCCCCCCACATCAACCACAGGTAGCATAGCCTCTCACCCCCACGCACACACACCCAGGGCTTGGGGCCCAGGTAGGAGGAGGGTGGGAGCCTCCAAGAGGAGTACGCAGGTCACAAACACCTTTTCTGAAGATGGCAGGGGCTTAGAACTTGGTCACTGGGGCTGCAGGGCAGCCCCAGTCGTCCCCCCCATCTGGGCCAGGGACTCTGGGAGTTCTCTGCCCTCGCCGCATCAGAAGGGGAGGGCAGGGCCAGAGGGCTGCCGTTCACCTGGCACCTCTCCCCCAGACCACCTGCTGGCTGATGCCTACTCTGGCCACGACGGTTCCCCCGAGATGCAGCCAGCCCCCCAGAACAAGCGTCGCCTCTCCCTCGTCTCCAATGGCCGCTACGAGGGCAGCCTCTCAGAGGAGGCTGTCAGTGGAAAGCCGGCTGGTGAGGGCCCCCAGCCCCGCGTGTATACCATCTCCGGGGAGCCGGCCCTGCTGCCCAGCCCGGAGGCCGAGGCCATTGAGCTGGCCGTGGTAAAGGGGCGGCGGCAGCGGGAACGGCACCCCCACCACCACAGCCAGCCCCTGCGTGCCAGCCCCGGGGGCAGCCGCGAGGACGTCAACAGGCCCTGCCAGAGCTGGGCAGGCAGCCGCCAGGGCTCCAAGGAATGTCCCGGATGCGCCCAGCTGGCCCCTGGTCCCAGCCCTTCCCCTCGGGCCTTTGGGCTGGACCAGCCACCCCTGCCTGAGGCCACCAGCCGCCGCAAGAAGCTGGAGAGGATGTACAGTGTCGATCGTGTGTCTGGTGAGGGCAGGCTCGGGGGCAGGGTGCCGATGCTGGGGTTTGCTGGCAACAACCACTGTGAGGCCTGGACAGGTGGAGGGTGTGCAGGTGCCCAGCGACACCAAGTCAGTCAAGGAGTACTTCCTGGAGGAGGGCGATTAGGGGATTCTCGAGGGTGGAGCATACAGAAAACATGGCTTAATTAGAATATCAGGCTGCCTCTGGGGAGTCCTGGGGATCAGTCTCTGCCCTGGGCCCCAGCCAACAACGTTCACAGTAACCTCGGGAAGCACATAGCGTCTGGGGCCTGGCCAGGAAGTGTGGTGCTCTGCGGGTGGTCGGTGAGCCCTGGAGGCTTCCTACGTGGAGAAGCGGCCTCTCAGGGACACTTGAGCAGCCCCACGCCTTCCGGCTCTGGGGTCACCTCCTGAAAAGCAGCGTGCCGACTAGCTGCGCCCTCACATCATCCCAGGGTACCTCCTGGCCTTCCCAGTCCGCAGCCTGCCTGGGCATCAGGGCACAAGCCAGGGGTGTGGGCAGTTCACCTCCATGACCTCATGCTCCTCTGATGGACAGAGCGCAAGGATTGGGGCTGGGCCAAGGGTGAGAAAGTAGAGCAAATTCTCATCTGCCCCGGGTAGGAGCTGTAGGGGTCCTGAGAAGGGGCAGCCCTCAGCAGGACTGTCTCCACACCGGGTGAGGGCCTCCACCTCCCCCCTCCTGGAATGGTCCAAGGGAGTGGAGTGGGCGGCCTGCAGAGAAGGCCCCAGAGCCCCCAAGAGAGGCTGCAGCCCTTGTCCCCGGCCTGTGCCTCCTCTCCAAAGGGCGGCAAAGTGAACCCTTTCTCTGGGCCCCTGGACACAGGCTGTGTTTGCAGAGGCGCGCTCTTCCGCTGTCGGCAGCCCCAGGGGGAGCTGGGCAGAGACCGACTCACGAAGCTGCTGAGTGTCTCGGCGTGAGCAGCTGAGCCGGCACATGTTACCTTACGGCCTCACGCCAGCGTCCGCCCACCTGGGAGAAGGCTAGGGGACCCTGGTGCTTTTCCCCCACTGGCTCGGGCAGAAGCATCCCCTTCCCTGGCAGCTTCAGGAAACCCCCAAGCCACCCTTGTCCCTCCTTCTGCCTTGCAGATGACACCCCCATCCGGACGTGGTTCCCCAAGGAAAACCTCTTCAGCTTCCAGACCGCAACCACAACTATGCAAGCGTGAGTCGTGCACCTGCAGGGTGTCCACGGCGCGGGGCCTGGGCCTGGGGCCTCTTCTTGGTGCTCGGGAACTACTGCCAGGCCCTCTCCCACCTGCGAGGCCCGCCTGGGCGGCTGTTTCTGAGCAGCCCTACGTGCCCTTGTCCTACCATGTCTGCCAGATGTGACACAGTCTCAAGGAAGGCAGGGCTGGCTGCTCTCCTCCCCCAGCCTCCCACTGCCTCTCCCTCGCCCCATCCATCATCACCCCTCCCTTCCCCACGGCCCTGCCCTCTGCTCTCTTGGCCCTCCCCTGTCCTTCTTGGTCCTCTGGGGACCTGGCCCCAGGCTGCAGCTGCTGCAGTCTCCAGTTGGGGTGGTTCTCCTGGGCATGGCCTCATCTCAGCTCCCGAGACAGCGGCCTACTTGTATTTTGTGCATCTCGGGGGGTCACACCCCAGGCGTCCCTGCGGGGGCCTGCTCTTCTCTCTCTATGACACGTACCTGGGTTTTCGGACGCGGAGTTCCTTTCTGAGAGGCACTGCTGGCTGCAGTGTACCCCTTGTGCTACTCTGGGGAGCCCATCACCGCCCTCAGGCTGGCTGGGGGTGGTCAGCTTGGCCGCCGGGCCCAGAGCCAGCAGAAACAGGCCTCTGTGCCCACCTGACCGTGTCATGGCACCTGGTAGCATGGGCCCATGACCTCCTCATCCACCACCCTTGCCTGGGCTTCCCACAGCACAGCTGGTGCCCTGCTCGAGCCTGGAGTATGAGTGAGGGACCCCCGGAGTCAATGACAAGGGCAGTAACAGGGAACCTAGAGGGCTGTGGGGTCGTGGCTCACTATGTCTTCTTTCTCACGCTGCCCCTTCCCGCCGCTCCTCCAGCATCTCGTAAGTACTCTGGGACCTCGAGCCTAAGAGCACTGGGGTTGTCCCTGGGGGACCCTCCCACCCCCAAATAGGTTTGGGCAGGCCAGGGACCTGGGCCTTGACTGTGAGGGAGTGCCACGTCCCAGCAAGCACCACGGCCACAGCAGGGCCTGCCAGGAGCCGGGCGGAGGACAGGGTGAGACAGGCCAGGGTCCTTCTGCCTGGCCCGGCGCCCTGGATACCCCTCCAGGCCCTGTGCTCACGCCTCTGTCCCCACGTCTCGGTCCCTCCTACCCGCGGCCAAGGGCAGTGCTGACTCGTGGTGGTTTCTCAGGGTGTTCAGGGGCTGCGCGGAGAGGAAGC